AATGCCGAACGCCGGAATGTCCAATTACAGTCCCCCATTAGCGCCCGGAGGCTCGATCTACCCAAGCTCGCTGCACAACTCGCCCAACGACGGCTACGGTTCCCTTTACAGTATGAACGGTCGTCAGCATCAGGATTCGCAGCAGCAACAGCAACAACAGCACCAACAGCAGCAACAACAACAACAGCAACACAGCAAGTCCTACACGGTTGAGAATCTAGCGTCGAGCAACTATACGCCGACTATGAACCACGGTCATCCCGGTAATTCGTACCCAAACATAATCCCCGGTCCCCATTATCCCGTCCCGATGGGATCGACGAACGGCTATCTTTTCGGCGGCCTCGAGCCGAGCTTGATGCAACGCACCTACGGGATGGGCGGTATGAGCGGCATGGGAGGTATGCACCACCCGTCCCTCGGTCACATGGCCAATCCTTATCCGTACAACGGTTCGTATTCTAGTTCCTTCGACGCGTATCCGGGCCCGCCGGCTGGCATTCACGCGCCAAGCGCGAACTATCCCGGCGGTTACGCGAGCGTCGGCAGCACAACGCCGGGCACATCAACGCCACCGTCTTACCTCCCGTCACATCATAGGCCGCCGGTCGACCTAGCATACGACGGTGTATGATAATCGATGTAAAGCTATGTTCAACTCTCGCGATAGCGATTTCGAGCGCTACGTTTATCTTTTCTACGTATTTTTACACGTTTAGGATCCGCCGCCGCCGCCGCCGCCGCCGGAATAAATCGCGTCGAACGAAACGAAAAGCTTCTATCTCTCTCTATCTCGTTGCGGACGCGCTTTCTGGCCGGACTTTGCTACTGCGATTCGCGCGCGTTTTCTTCATTCCTTCTTCTTCTCGCCCCCCCCCCTCACCCTACTTTCGCTCTAACCTAGTACCGCGCGAACCATCTCGTTTAATTCTCCATCGTCTACGTTTCACCCGCGTTTTCCGTTTCGAAATTTCTTTCGTCCTGTTCTCAAGCCGCTTGAAATGTCTCCGTACTAACCTCACGATGATCCTACATTTCCTCTCTGTCGCTCAATGATTAACGATTGCGCCCCGCGAGTAGTCACACGGACGCGCGGCTCGGAAACCCCCCTGGAAAATGTGATTCGAAAGTGGACGCGGCTGCTGGCCTTGTCGCGTATGGATGGACGCGACTGATTGGGCCGCGCCGCGTTAAGCCTGATTCACACTAACGGTCGAAGGTACGGGCGGATCTAGCGAAGATATACTTGAATTGTATCGATATTTAGTATCGATAGATATTGATACTCGGATCATCGATACACACATTACACTGGCGAGCAAACTCGGCTTTCGCTAGGGGAAAATGTGAGGTAGGGAAAACAGTTTAACATTTATTTCCGAACTTGTCATAAATTTAGTAAGTGTTAGGAGACTTTTCTTCTACGCCGCTTTTTCCCCTAGTGGAAGCCGAGGTTGCTCGTGAGAGTACATCGGGAGTAAAATATCGATATTATCGGTATCGATACTTGCAATTCAATTAGAAGTAATAATATCTAAAAATTGAGATAAATCATTTGTTTATGCAGATATTTACTAAGGCAGATTCGCAGGTGACAGTGTGCAGAAGAAATCGACCAATCGCAAACTTTATAGGAAGCTCGCGATTGGTCCGTTTTGCTTACGACCTATTTACGTTACGGCAAATGCAACGATTGTATCGAAATTTCGATATTTATGGGTTAAGTATCGATACTGGAATATATCATCGCATTAACCTCCGCAAGGACAAATTATTAAGACCAGAAAAGAATAATCAATTGCATTTATTTTAAATATATTTATGAATATTAATGCCAATCAATTGGTACGCTAAGGTTTTTGTGTTAGGAAACTTCCAAGTAAGGGTTTATTGACAATAATATTCATTGATCCTTGGAAGCATGCTTGAATGAAAGAAACAGTGAACGTAGACATATGTGCCAGTATCCCTCAAGAGGTTAAATATCGATACAAAATTCCGATATTTCAATTGGAAGTATGCCCATCACTAGGCAGATCACGATCAGGTCACAGTCGAGGATTTTACCAAGGCGGTCTCACTGAACTATCAGAAGCAATCAAGTACGTGTCGTAGTCTCTTTCATTTTTGTTCGTTCGCTCGAGGCAGGAACAATGTAATTCGTACTTTTTTTCAACCGTCCTCAATAGACAATCTAGCAAACCGACTCCACGGTTAACAGATTTTCATGTAACTTCACGTGTATGTACTGTGAATGCTCCCATCGAATTACGTCTGAGCGATATTGACCGTTGCCTGACTTGACATGATTTGACCGTTGGTGTGAACGAAGCTTTACGCGCTGAAACGTCGTAACCACGACGTCTCGAAACTGCCGGTGCTTGGCGATGCTATCGATCTCGTCTTTCCGAATTGATCGCGTGTCGTCTGTAAACGGGGAAAACGATCTTAAGGTATATATCGTTCTTCCCGTTCCTTTATGTTTCTTCTAATTCTGTTTCCTTTTATTTCGCGCGTCGCTACGCAGCGTGTTACTGTTATAATGTATGTATGTATATCGTTTCGTTATTGTTGAAAGGATACTCCCGATCGTTTCGCTCGACTGACGAGCAAGTGCAATCTATTGTTTTCGATGGGTCAGTATCTTCTTCGTTCTATGTCCGTGCCTAGCAACGTATCTTGTTAGAACTTCAAAAGTTACTCGCGTATACTGCGCGCGTATATCCGTTGTTACTTTTTGTTCGTTCTTTCATCTTTTTTTATTCGTTGTAAAAGAGAAACTCCTTCGTTGATTTGTACGCAACGTGATTCGTGTAGCTGTATAGGCTGCTGCCGACGAGCGAGACTCTCCCATTGAATGAAACACCCTGGCGTTCGGCCGTTGCTTCGAGTAGTTTTCATCGTACCCATGAACGGAATAATACCCGAATTTTATGGAACACCTGGATGGTTTGTATCACGTAAAACGTGTTAGGTCGCCGTTAAACGAAAACGTAAGGGCGCATCTTCATTGAAGTGAACCGTGCGCGTGCGCGTGCGCACAACTTTCCTGCGACCGTTCCGTGAAATTCGGAAATATTTTTTTTTCGAATTTCATGGAGCAACGTAATGTTATCTCTCGCTGACACAACCGGATGCACCGTGTGTACGCGTACACACCCACATATATACTATGTTACAGAATAATATTATTATTATTACATCAAAGCAATAAAGCGGACGCGCGTGTACGCACGGATTAATTGCAAAACTGTACATGTTTAATGCGAGTCTAGTCAATTCGATTCGTTGAATCGTAGCACCGTTTTTCACGCGGATAAGCCGAGTTGTTTTTGCGCGCGCCGATAAAATCTGGAAGGATGATACACGACCAACCCGCCCGTAGATCCGCGTTTGGATCAACAGAGTCCGCTCGTAGAAGACGCTGCCGCTCGTGATCAAAAGTACACAGTGTGTTCCAAAATAGCTTCGACTCTCGGAAATGAGAGGCTCTTAGGATGATTTCAAACAACTTTTCCTTTAGCGAAAATGTCATCCGAGGCTTTGTTAACGAGATATTAACGAAAAACCCCGAACCAATCAGAGCGTGAGTCTGTCGACCGAGGTCTGATTGGTTCGGGGTTTTTCGTTAATATCTCGTTAACAAAGCCTCGAATGACATTTTCGCTAAGGAAAAAGTTGTTTCAAATCACCCCAGGAACCCCTCATTTTCGGTAGTCGAAGCTATTTCGGAACACCCTGTATATAGCCGACCGTAAAGGTACGATTCCACCTGACAGTAAAATTCATGACTTTCGTTGTCGCGTGACACTATCACAATCTGAATCAATGTCATAAACAACGTGACATCTAGTTTTCACGACGACAAAAGTCATACCACGTAGTGTTAAGACAATAAAAGTCACGATTTACTGTCAAGTCAAAACGTACCTTTAGACGAAAATCACACGTTCGATATTTAAATATTCTTGCGTTTCACCCGAGATCTGGCGAGCTACGAGCGACAAGAATGGAACGTCGAACCACTGCGCACGATCGACGACGACCAACCGACCAACGACCGACGACGATCGTTCCTGTTCGCCTGTTTCACGTCCAAGTCCCTCTTGGCTAACGGAACATCGAGAATTTTTTGCCCCCCCCCCCCCCCCCATCCCATGTACAGACTGAGCCACGCGCCGTTAAGCTTCTCGCTTATGAAGTTTGTAAGCTTTTTTCTAACGGAGTGCATATTTAATAGTTATTATATCGTAATCGCGTATTGAAGGACAATGCACGGGATAAATAATTTAAGACCCGACAGCCGGGACGCCTACTTCGGCTCGTCCTTATTACACGTCCCATCCGACGTGAGGCGAGTTTCACACATGAGCACGATTAGTCCCCTCGTCATGAAACAGGCTGTTGTATTTAACGTTTCACGCGTATCGGTTTGGTGTCGTGCGTAAAGTACGCACGGATCGCAGCCGGGAATACACACTGCCACGGCCGGCTGGTGGTAATGGTCAGTAATTATGTTTGTTCGATTGCCCTTAGTAATTTGTTAACGCGTAGTCCTTCGTGAAATGGGTGATTTTGAAATCGGTGGGGAAACGTTAATTACATTGCTTAAAGATTGAATACAAAACCAGTCTGTGTCCGAAAATAATCTTGATGGTATCGACGTTGAGTGTTTACCTTTTACGTATAAATTTATGGAGGGTAGAAATGCAAGTACGAAAATCGACGAAAAATTCACATTTCTTTGATCGTTAGCAGCGACGGATTAAGTGGGGGCGATTTATAGGGGGCGATAAGCTTTCCACTTATGTCAAAAAGTAATTGAATGAAATTTTTGAGAAATTAATCGGATCATAGTTGTTAGAATATAACGAAGCATTGTTCATTATAATCAAGCGTTCGTTATGACTATATGTTATTTAATTTTATTTAGGACAAATTGCAATTTTTGAAGATTTATGTATCCCCCCCCCCCTGGAGTCCCGGAAGGTTAGCCCTGGGCCACAAGAAATCTTAATTCGGGCCTGATCATTAGGTGAACCTTGACGATTCCTTCGATATTTGGCGTTTTCGACAACGACTATGCAAAAATATCAGTGTAATAACCGTGTATGGATCTTAATACCATATTTCGTAAATACCTTTCACGTAAATACGTGAAAGCAAATCGAAGGATTCCTTGGGAAACAGAACGTGTGTGAAACGAGCCTGACCAAACGGACCAACAAAAACCTCCTCCCCCATAGACGATTCAAATTTGGCGTCCACGGCTTTCATAACCTCGCACCCGCTACAGCCATATAGCCGTTCTCGTTGCAATTTGTTTGTCGGTTAAAATCGTTGACTCTCGACATCGCTGTGAAATATTGAATTCGTTACCGTGATTTATTAATGGTTATCGCGTTATGTTGTCTCGTTGATTATATTTCATTGCCGCGTTTCGAACAATCGAGGATTCACAACGGTGACGCGCGCCGATCCCGCAGGATCGGCGCCGCGAACCGGTTGATATCGATGCATGGCACGATCGAATGCATCCTCCTTTGTCGCTGATCGACGCTGTACAATTATGCATCTGGCATGATTATATATATATATAAAGAAAAAAAACAAACGAATGTACGCGTGTGCGCGCGCGCGCGCGCTCGCGAAGTCGTCGAGGCGTGAAAAAGTTGCATAAGAAACGAAATTACAGATGAAATTGCGCGAACAACGAGAGAACGCGTGCACGCGCACGCGCGTACATTTACACAGGATATACATAAAATATAAATATATTATATATTGACTATCTACGATAAGCGAGAAACATTTATCTCGAGTAATCACATAGAATGTGTTGAAAACATTTAAAATGATGCACAGGGTATAGATGAGAGAATCGTTGATATAATAACTGATGTCTATATAATGAATGTTTCTTTTGTTTCTCTATCGGCCTCAAGGACACAAATGGCGCGTACGATCGACAATTAACTATAGTAGATGTTTTTTCAGAATCCATTCCGATTCCGAGATATTGGAACAGTTTATAGCATAAGTGTCTGTCGGTGTTAATTGTTTTTCATCGATGATAATGAAACGAACCGGACAAAACGGGGGAAACGCGGATAAGGAGAGATTAAAATGCATGTAAAAAAAAAAAACGACACAGGGAGACGGCGACGAACAGGAAGTTGCATAAGGAAAAGAAGAAGAGAAAAAAAAACGGGAACGTGAAACACGTTGCCGCGCGTGTCGAACGGGACGCAAGCCAGCCGTCGTGCTATCAAACTAATTGAACATTTCGTCGATTAATCGAATTAAACTTGATTGTAAATTGATCGCTAAGGATTAACTATTAAGTATAAATATATTATACAGATTTAAGTGGTTTCGCTGTTGATCGTATCGAAATAAATGAAGAAAAAAAAACATTGATGAAAGAAAGAGAGAGAGAGAGAGAGAGAGAGAGAGAGAGAGAAAAAGAATGAGGAAAGAGAGAAAGAAAGAGAAGAAAGTATCGAGAAACAAAACGTAAGCGAGTAAGAGAGCTTGGGCCGAATTCACGGCCTTCCGACGTATTTTTTAATCGCTTCGAACCTCCATTATTCAAACCTTATTAAACGTAAACGGTGTATTAAAACTGTGTGTGTGTCGTCCAACCGACCGATCGATCGACCGATCGACCGATCCGTCGATTCGTGACGGAAACGGTAATCGACTGCTCGCTCGCTCACTCGCCTACCCGCTTGTACCTTCACCAATGGTTCCGTCACGATTCTCGGTATCGTATCGATCGTTCCAATTATCGTGATGCGTTCTATATCGACCAACGATGTACTTAACCTCTTCTTACACCTCGGAAAGGTGGGCCAATGGATCATGTTCGATGATTCCTCGTAATTATTCTTTTCTTTTTTTCTGTTCCTCCCCGCGCCCAAATTCCCCATTCACATCGTAGTGGGAACAATGATGCTTCCCTCGTAAAAGATCACACGATAATCCGCTGAAAACTTCATCCGAAACAATGCACACCACCTTTTCTCTTTTCACGCTATTTTTACTTTTACTTTCTCACCGTTGCCATTACATACACGAGCAACTCTACAAGCAAATGTAAATAGATTTGGATGGAACGCATAGATACTTAAACGAAGGAAAAAAAAAAGACGAATATGTCTTTACTCGCATATTTGTACGCGACCGTTTGCTGTTCCAAACCAGAAGTACACATCATAACTGGGCGGTGTCGACAGAACGAAGCTGTTCCGTTTCGACTTTATATCCGTTTACGCGTCGCATCGAATGTACGTTCGATCAGCGGTCGCGTATGGAATACTCGTAGTAAGCTCATCGTGGAGAGCACCGTTTTATATCCTTGGTGCAGGTTATTGGAGGAAACGAAGGGACTGAGCGGAGTGATCAGACAGCAAAAAGGACTCCGTTGAATCTGTTACTTTTTCCAGACGAGATCCGACGAGATCGAACTTTTTGATCGATCGAAAGGGTTTCGTGGATTGTTAACGGTTGAGCAACGCCGTTAGAAATTCAACTGGATAGGCACTGGTGTAATCGTTTAAGAACGACGGAAGAAAAGTCCCGAAAGGAGAAATGTCCGAATCGGCATCTCCAATACATATTGTTTCTTCCAATTTAAAAATGACGAACTCTCGTCGAAATGAGGAATAATCGCAAAATCGACGATTACAAAAATATCCGTTGCAACAGGATTCTTGATTCTGCACCATGTATCCGTTCACTTTGTAACTTTAATTGCCGATTCGCGTCCAAAGGGTGCGCCAGCTATCCGAGTATGTATCTACTTTTTTACCAACCGCGTACCTACATGGCTCGTTCCGAATCCGCAAACTTCTTACTCTGTTGTGTCAATAAACGATACCTTTTTTTTACCAGAACGCGACACGCGTCATTTTCGCCCTCGAAGAAACAAAACACTACGTGCATTCGATCAGTGATGTTAAACAATCGGCTGGTCACGCAGCCAAAGATCGGACAAGTTTCGAGTATCGATGAAATTAAGATCTTTCGATCCTTAGATAAAACGAAAAATGATATGAACTGATTTAAAAATCACATATTCTTATATTTAATGTACGTCTTAGCGTTTAATGCGCATCAACCAAAAACGACGCTTCGGTTGCAAAATAGCACGATCTAAAATGAATGAAAAGAAAAAAGCAGAAGCAACGTCAAAGTTTGACGTAACAACGTGAAAATGTGGTTTCAATTTATAATTTTGAATCGTCTTGAGTCCATTCCGATTGCTTTACCAGAGAAACAAAAAAAAACCGACTGTATCTAATCGAAAAAAAAAGTCAGACGATCTACAACTTTCTTTTTCTAGTACTCCAGTTAGCCTCCCCATAATGACCGTATTGTAGTCTTCTTTCACTGTTACTGTCCAAAGATAATCGTAACGATGTTATTCAGAGAAGAATGATTAGCGTCGCGCGAAATCATAGTTGGAAAGAAAGGAATACTAAGGTAATCAGTATGCGTTGCATTGTACGATTCATGAATGAATGATATCGCATCGCGCGATCCCTCTTGTAAATTTTAAACGTAACGAATCCTATGGAGACAAACTTTACTCTTCTTTGGCTCTACCGACGTCACTGGCAGTTTGTGTCAACAAATAAATTGATTCGTTAAAACGAGACTTTGATTCTTTCATTATTTCTGTGACTTATATAATTTACGCTGAAGACATTGTGTATGCTGCATTCAATCTTTTTACTAACAATAACTGTTTTATATAAAACAAAAAAAGTACTGTATTGTACAGAGAAATTTTGAAGTCATCCTGCGACAGCGCTTGCATAGAGATGCAGACATAACTTTATCTTTATTCATTCCGTTAACGATGAAGTAAGTCACAACACGATGCTGACGTGCTCGTCACGTGGTGGACCTCGATTGGTCCATTTTGCGTTTTATTTGAAATAAATCCAAGAATGGAACCTCGAAATTACATAAATTTCAAGATTTCTTTCTTTTATTAATTAATATCCCAATAATCAATTGTTTTCAACGAATAGTTTAATGCATTGGCATTCCTATAAGCACCGACTAGGTAAGGATAGACCTATCATCTTATGGGACTTCGTGTCTCATGTTCTGAAATACCGATAGTGTAAAAAGTCAGGGATTTTCTGCTGCCCTCTACGTTATGAGAACGGTGAATTTGTGAACTACGTTAAATCTAAGAAGGGACCAACTCGCTCCATCATTAACTGGAATGAATAATATTTGTATTTACTATATTCCTACTTATGCTATGAATTCATATTATGTAACACTACGAACTCAAATGTGTTCAGTTTTTCCAGATTTTATCGCGTAACCCGAATAATAACATAGTTATTAACTACAGCAGATTCTCGATAGCAGCTCTGCTCGGAAGTTTATCGACGAGCTTTTATCGTAATGCTGCATATGTTTTTGAGCTTGATGCATTTGAAGCAATAATATATATATCTAATGATCATATATTACGAACAAAACTGCAAACTAAGCAGCTAGTTCCGTAAGAAAGACTTCTAAGCTTCTACCATATAGGAAAATCGAGTTGTTGTCGAGAATCGATTGTACTAGGAACACGAATAATCCTAGTAACTGTTTAATTTACCGAAAGAGTTTGAACATCGCATCTTAGTTATTACATAGTCTGTGTTCTACGCGATTTACAAAGTGTTAGTTCATTGTGTCTATCGACAGTTGTAATTATAATTTTAGTTTATAATGCCGTTAGAAAATCTTGAAGAAGAGGGTTTGGAGAAGAACCCGAATTTAGAGTTGGCTCAAACTAAATTTTTGTTGAGCCTGCCAGAACATAAAGATGATCCTTTTTTAAAAAATAAACTTCTAGATGCCATTAAAGCAGAAAGTGAGACTGCATCTTTTTTCACCGATTTAAGTGCTGCAATATAAACATATATTTAACAGATTTTCAGTTATAACTTATTATTTCTTACTGTCTTAAATTGAATTATACGTTTATATATTTTTTATTACTTATACAATACAGAAATTTATACGTTATTCTGCCGTGACGTTTACCATAACCTCGTCAGTCTTCAATTCTCTGTACAGTTTATTAATTTCTTGACGTATTAATCGATTTCCGTGTTTTATAATGTAGCTTTTTTTTACCAGTTTAATGTGTAATTCACATTTACAGTGTGTATTACTGTTAGCATTTGTGTACTTTTTCAATATGATTCTTTTCTCTAGACATGGCTCCATTTTATGAAGATGTATGTAAAGATTTGGATTGGCCTACCGATGAAGCCCTGTTGTCTGCAATGAAAGCACGCAATATGGAACAATTAAAAGAGCTAGATGATGCAATTGATGATGCTGAAAAGAATTTAGGAGAAATGGAAGTTCGTGAAGCAAATCTTAAAAAATCGGAGCACCTTTGCAGAATAGGGGACAAAGAAGGTGCTATCTCTGCATTTCGGAAAACTTATGATAAAACTGTATCTTTGGGTCACAGATTAGACATTGTATTTCATAATATTAGGATTGGATTATTCTATTTGGATCATGACCATATTACAAGAAACATAGAAAAAGCTAAAAGGTATAAAAATATTAAAATTAAGTTTTATGTAATTGTACTACATAAAAGAAAAAAAGTATTTGCAACAACATTTCATTTTAGTTTAATAGAAGAGGGTGGTGATTGGGACAGAAGAAATCGTCTCAAAGTTTATCAAGGAACATATTGTATAGCAGTGCGTGACTTTAAAGAAGCTGCAAACTTTTTTTTGGATACAATTAGCACGTTTACAAGTTACGAGCTAATGGATTACAATATGTTTGTGAGGTACACAGTATACTTAAGCATGATAAGTTTGCCCAGAAATGAACTCAGGGATAAAATCATCAAGGGCTCCGAAATTTTAGAAGTACTTCACAGTAATTCAGATGTGAAAGATTACTTGTTTTCTCTGTACAACTGTCACTACGCTGATTTCTTCAAAAATCTTGGTAAAGAGAATTTTTATTGAAAGAATGAAACACCTAATTATTGAAAACAATAAAATATGTCACAACATTGTAATACATTTTTAGCACACGTTGAAGGCTTACTGCGCAGGGATTATTTAATATTCCCTCATTACCGATATTATGTTAGAGAAATGCGAATTCTGGCGTACACGCAACTTCTGGAATCTTATAGATCTCTGACATTACAATACATGGCAGAAGCATTTGGTGTTACAGTAGAATACGTTGATCAGTAGGTTTTACAGATTTTACTTTTAATTACACGAAATGTTTATAACCTCTACTGATGGTTTAATTTTATCTTGCAGGGAAATATCACGTTTTATTGCAGCGGGAAGACTGCATTGTAAAGTGGATCGCGTCGGTGGAGTAGTCGAAACCAATAGACCGGATAGCAAAAATTGGCAATATCAAGCTATGGTCAAACAGGGAGATTTGCTGCTCAATAGGGTGCAAAAATTATCACGTGTTATTAATATTTAATTACATAACAAATAAATCATTATGATTCAGTATCAAATCACAGAATCTACTTATTTGCGTGCTTGGAATTCTTTTAGACTAATTTGTAACATACTTAATCTTAATTTTGTATCAAAGACCCTCATTATAATTATTAAATTCTATGGTAAATATACACAATTAAATGTCAATTCGGATAAGTAACATGTGTGTCATTTTCTCCCCACTTGTGTACTCTATATTATTTCGGTCTGAATAAAATAATAATGTGAACTAAAAAATCTAGTTAGCATATACTATATATATACAGCATATAGTTTGAACATTCAAGTCTGAAAAAATAAGCTCCAAAACGAAACAATCGCTGTCGTTTACAGATGATCAAATTACAACTGCTTTGATGTTTTCACGAATAGTAACGTCAAGTAACGTTCTCAGTCACCTTTCGACATTTGTCGGTACAAGGTTCTGAAATTCATGTAATTATATATGTACAAAGTTGATTTAGAGCAGAAAAAAAATTTCTGATATTTCGAATCATTTGACAGTGAGTTTTAAATAAATATTTATCACTCCACAATTAACAAAAATTTCAATAGAATTGCTGATACACATCGTTGGAAAACCCACGCGAAACATTTAAATCGTTGTAACGGTTATTTTGCCAGAAGCTGAAACTGAAACGGTCAAAAGGGTACTGAAAAATGGGACGGCGAAAGAGCAAACGACAGGCCCCCCAAAAGAGAAAAGCTATCGAGCCTATGGATATACAGTTCACGTGCCCATTTTGTAACCACGAGAAATCGTGCGAAGTTAAAATGTAAGTCCTGTGCTTTACAATAAAGCGACGTCTGCCGAAACGGAGTATAACATGTCGCATTTTTTGTGATTGTAGGGACAAAGGACGAAACACCGCAAGGATTTCATGTCGAGTTTGTTTAGAAGATTATCAGACGTCTGTCAATGTGCTATCAGAACCGATCGATGTATACAACGACTGGATCGACGCATGCGATGCTATAAATTAAACGATTTAAACTTCATGATTTCGGACGAAGGAACCTCATGTGCCTTTCTATACGTTTGAAAGTTTGTAAGATTCCTATTAATACTTAAGATTAATCTTATTATATCGATTATCCAAATCTATTTTCTATTTTGACTATAATGTATTGACAGTGTTGACTAGTATATTATACATATCGTTGTGACATGTAACATGCAGCACATGTTTTTCAACCATTTTATGATATGATAATTTTCCCAATAACATGTTGAAAACAATATGTAAGCGAATAAAAATAAACTTGTTTGTGTACAGGAGCATAAATTGAAAGTTTTTATTAATAGTATAATTGTGTAAGCGTTAATTATCACTTATTTAGGAGATATACGGTATTCTAATTGGTTTTCGGTCTATTTCAGTGTAATATATGTAATTCCATTGTTAACGGCCAGTGTCAGTAAAATTACTTTTAAAATGCGCGCTGTGATGACTTTCTATATATAAAGAATGACGCGAATACTATATTGTTCTTCGGTGTTTGCTATTTAACGGTAGATAAGAGAACTCGCTCTGAAATTTTATCGGTTTTCCTACCGGTTTTGCAGTAATTCCTCTCCATTATGACTAATCTTTCACAGTCTGATTGATGAAATGTAAGTGGTCGTGGTTTTGCAAAGGTCGAAACTTCTTGACAGAGTGATCTAATTTATTGTCTTCGAATGAGGGTAATGTAGAATTCGTGAACTTGCATGACGTTTGTTTTGCAGTGGTCATCGTCTAAAAATACCGGGAGGCAAAACGAAAAGATTGACTAACATAAAAGCGTAAGAATCGAGTTTCTAACTTATAGTCGTGAACGATGGATAAAGCCAAGGCAATACCTGATGGACGAAAGTTACCACCCCTTCGGAGTTTAAACGATTTCATTCTGGAATCGTCGCGTTTCCAACTACCCAATTTTAAAGATTTCGAGAAATGGGGTAACAGAGTGGTAAATAATCTTATTTACTATCAAACCAACTACCTTTATATGTCAATCGCAATCATACTTATTGTAGGGTAAGTGTTAAGATTCGAATGGTTATAGTTTGGTAAGGTGTATGGACTTTTATATAGTTTAAATTTTTTATTTTTCAGATCAATGCATCCTTCAAAGATATTATTTGGTGTATCTACAGTGGTATTAATGTGGACACAATATCTTTATGGAACCATTGAGAATAAAGAAGTAGCTAACATAAGAAGACAATATCCATTACTTCAACTTGTAATGCTTTTTCTATGCGCATATTATGTGTTTGTTAACTTGAATTCAATTTTTCTGGTGTTATTCAGTTTCTTATTGTCATTTTGCAGTAAGTTTTACAGTTAATTCACTATGCATAATATTTTCATTAATTCATATGGATTCCATTTTTCATTTTAGTAATTTTTATACACGCATCGTTGAGATTAAGGCATCTTAAGAATAAGATTGTCAACAAAATCGAGGGGATTGGATTGGAGCGTACACCAATGGGCATTTTCTTGCAATATTTTGGTATGAAAGAAGAATTTATTACATAAACTTCTACTATTCCATTGTTATGTACTTAATTGTGTGTATTTACATAAAGACAAATATATACATGTATTTTTATTATTTTTATTTAAAACAGAAAATCATTTTTTTACTCTAACGTTGTGCTTTCCTGATTAAAAAGAAATTAAGAGCATAACAATTTCATGCTTGCTTAATTATTTTAGTATATTTACTTATGAATGTAAACTAATACAAATATTGTATTTATGAAATGTTACATCAAATAAAATTATTATATAATAGTTAAAGTATTGACGAATGTGTAGATTGTAGATAATATTGAAAGCATTGGTGGTTTATTGATAATATTATGTGTCATATTTTTGGACAGTTTTCCTCGTTTTCTAAATGAGGACTGAAGGTAATTTAGATCAATAAATATGGAATGTGCGCAATCTGTTCTCCTAGTTGCAATGTAAAATCTTGAGAAAATAAAAGTGCTTAAATATCAACAAAAAATTCTTTAAGAAGTATAATTTCGATGAGATTATATATTCTATTTATTGTATATTTAAGTTTATTTATATATTTGATGTATTTATTGAACAACCTTGTTACATTGTAGATACATATTTTCTTCATACATTATGTAAACAAGGAACTATATTTCATAGATATTTGGTGACAGTGAAAAATATTGATTCAGCTAACACCTTAATCCAGTACTAATTATTTTTTGTTATTCAATAATTATGTTTCATATTGGCACATAATCAATTCTTAATCCTAATTTCTCGATATATTTTTTTATTTCATCAAGCAGAAGATGTGACTGGTATAGTCGTACGTGCACAGACAACCTTTGTCCAATCGCTTCAGTAGTAACCCACTTTAACCACATCTAGGAGTGAATGTAATTTACTAATGACTATTGAATGCTGCTTTAATTTAATGGAAATTATGTTTCTGGATGAATACCACAGTGAGAGGTATCTATGTTAAAATTTCCACAGCAAAATAATTAAACTGTGTAATAAAATTAACTAATGTAAAATCTATGAAACAATATTTATGCAAATACAGGTATTTCTAGTGTTACGACCTCTTCGACTTACGACTGTAAAGAAAAAGATATTTTTTTTTAAACGATGGTTAAAATAGAAATTTTTGAATTAAATTTAATATGTTAAATATCTAATAAATACATACATATATGTATTGTAACTGAAAATAAATACTATTTGATTAAATAATTGTGTAATAATTTTAATTCTTTGAATGTTATTATCCCAGTGTATGTTTCCTTATCAGTGAATTTATTTAAAATTGCATATATTGAAAACCATTCGCAATGCATTCAATTAAAGAGGAAAGTACATATGTGTATGTATGAACATATTATGTACGAAGCTCGACTTACGACGAAAGTTCCGGAACGGAACCCCATCATAACTCGAGGAATGCCTGTATAAGTAAGGCAATTAAGATTCTGAAGTCAATGAAATTTTTGTGAATGTATATGAGTTATGTAAATTATAAACCCTTCCAAGACCTTAATCATAGTAGTTAATTATATTTACTGTCTTATGATGTAAATCTTTAAGTTACTGTATCAACTTTGTATTGCATACGTGTAAATAAAGATAGCAATATATTAGCAATGATAGCAATGTTTATTATCGTAAAATTTGAAGCTCCTTCAAAGAAGGGATGTTGCAGTATATTTACTAAACTATCTGGTGCACTCGTTTGGAAAATTGAATACTTAAACATTATACTCCTTAAGTAAATAAATTCTTAGTAGATTTATTATGATCGCAAAAACATAAAATATATTTTCTTGGCAGGTCACATCATAAAATTTATATTTAAAAAAAAAAAAAAAAAATACTTCAAATTAACTTTTTGGCACTCGCGAATGAGTAAGTTTGACGAATAAACCGTTCTTTGTTGCACAGTAAACGTGGACGGTGAATACATTTAAACAGAGCATGTTTAAATATATATTTATTTATATTTCGAATTTAATGAAGAAATTTATTTAACCATGAATTATATGATGATAAACACGGAATATTTAGGAAACACAACTAAAATTACAGACGAAAAAGAAAAAAGCAGCGGAAGTTATTTGAAACTTATTTTCTAATATTGTTACAGAAGTACAATGAGTTCTTCAATAGTTACTGTTAAAATCTCAAACAAATACCATTATTCTCTTATTCGTTTACTTAAAAAAAATTGTTAGCCTTTAATAATCTTCCTCTTGATTTGTGTCTTTTACTTTTAAAGTTAGAAACTTTACTTTTGGAACATCAAATAATAAGAAATGCAAAAATTACAATCAAAATCAATCTTAATCGAAGACACATAGTGTGCATAGATATTTATGTACTATTCGTTTTTAAGTTGTATAGTACTTTTTGAACTTAAGATATGTTCCAATTGATTGTTGAAAGAAAATAAATATTTGTAGTACAATGTCTTGTTCTGCAATAGAAACAATTGGAGTCGATTATTTCGGATAATATTGAGTAAATGAAAAAGGAACACTTACCATATTACTATAATTTTGTTATAAATACTGTGTTTGATGGAGATAATATTGTGTCTGATAAATGTAGTTTTAGAGAAAGTTCACCAATATTCGTCTTTGGAAACGGCACTAAATAAGTATGATCAGAAGATGAGTAACCCAAGCTTTCCATTTTGTTTATAAAATCCTAGAAAGTAACAATTGATGTATGTTTCACCTATATTTTACTCGACTCATATATAACACATGACAAAGCTTACTTCTACTGTATTTGCAGGACACATTGATATTGATTCCTTTTTACCATTTGGCAATCTCAAACAGAGTCTTACAGATTCGCTACCTATATACAATAATATTTGAATTATTTAACTACTTAAGTTGTAAACACTTTATAAAAACGTACGACTCAATTAGAATGTAATAATTGCTTACCTGTTTTAATTTTGTTCAAGTCACATTTTGGTTCGCACAATTCATCCTAAACAAATATTCAGATACATTTTCGTTACAGTAAGTTGCATATAAAAATTCTGTATGAACGATTTATAAAGATACCTTTGAAATATTTGGAATTTGCTCCTTTAAGTTTGGCTCGTCTATTCTTTTCTTTTTATTTGTATTTTGAGATGCATTAGTATGGACAGTTGAACTTGAACTCTGAATGTCTGCTATGCCATTGTAACTATCGGATTCATTCAAGCTATCAATCAAATGTTTAGAGCTTCGTGTATTACTATCGTAATCCTAAAAGTACAATCAATACATGAATAAGACATAATTATTTCAATACTTATACGGACTTTAGATGTAGGAAAATGGACACTTACTTTTGAATTAGATACGGAATTATCATTAGTCACTGTGGTTGCGGGATAGTTGTTCCATTTTTTGGAACTGAATGAATCACTTGTTACACATTCTGGAGATGGGTGAGTACTCAGCATATCATTTAATGTAAACATTAAAATATCAACAGTAATGTGATTGTACGTTTGCATGCATTCTCCTGTTCTAGGATCTATTACTGCCAAGTAAGGATATTTAGATACATTGTAAAAATCTATGTAGCGCTGCCCATCACTACTATTTGACAAAACCTGTTAGAACATATAATCTGTTACACATTTCATCTTTGATTTCTGTTAATATCAAAAAACCAATGTTTCGTTACAACTTACTTGCCACAAGACAAAATGATCCTTTATAATTTCCTGAATTTGCTGATTCGACCAAACATCTCTATTAAGTATCTGACAGGCAAATTCTTGTGGGTTTTGGATATTTACAAGTAACCAACGATTCAATGTTTTGGCATGTTCACGAGCTTCCAAAAAGGAACCTAAGAACAGGATACTGTATGGAGGTCTAAATAAATCTTCCAATCTATTTGACTTGCGCTGAGAGGTTTGTTTAGTCCCTGATACTCTTTCAGTCATTTCTTCTTCTTGTCGTTCTATAGTGGATATTTCATTTTGTTAAATACTTCCTACATATCATTTAATGTTAAACAGAATTAGATTAATAACACTTACGTGTCTCCACTGCAAAATCCCTAAATCTATCAAACACATTATTCGACATTCTTGGGAAAGAGCAAGCTGCATCGGATGGTACCAATATCTCTTGTGTAGGTAAAATAGGTGGTCTCACTTCTGGTTCAGGGTCAATGCTTTCAGGTTCAGGTGCTTGACCTCCTTCAAACATTAAAGTTATTGCAGACTCCACATTACCATCGGTCAGGGATAGGTATTGACGAGCAGTGGCTTCACTTTCCCCTAATAATAAAGAAGTATTTTCATATAAAATTTTAGGAATGGACAATGGTAGAAATTGGCCTATTTTGGACTCGACTGCAAACGAAAAATTTTGTAGAAATATATCCTGTGGAAAATTTTTCATTGACAAAGAGGTCCAAAATTGAACAATTTCTATCATTGTCCTTTACTATATTTGACTTCAAAATGTTCAAGTCCAATTAGAGCAATACATACCCGTTACTTCAATAAATTTTTCAATAAGTTCTGGATCCATCGTGCCTCTAGATCGCTAGAATGTTTGCAAAAAATTTACGATCGTCGGACAAAATTTATCAAGTAACATCAACCGGCTGACATTTCGCAACATTCACAAAATTCGTCGCTCCATCGATGACGCTTACGAATTCAACAGTAGACCCTAAACACTTCTACCAAGGATTGAAGGATCAGTGCATCTATCTGTGCCAAACGTTCTTTAAATTGCAACTGATTGCAACGACGCGACCTACGTATATCCGATGATCAAAATACAGTACAATCTCGATAGCAGCTTGGTCGGTCCTATACGTTACCAACTCGTTACACTCGACTCCAACATTTTTCGTCCCTTTTGTTTTGTCAAAGGCGGGAATGAGCAAAAAAAGGCTGTATCACACGGTATGGGTTTTATTCATCTGGCAATGACACAGCTGCGTACGAGTTATACTGTGTCACCATCGTGTAACACTGTCTCTGAATGCACCAAATTCAGAAACTTATGCGGTAAATATTACGATAAAAGCTCGTCGGTGGACTTATTCGACAGAGCTGCTGTCGGGAGCGTAGTATGTACCACTAGAGGGCTACAAATATAAATGGATTCTCGCAAGTTCCTAAGAACACTGTGACACCTAAAACGTATTGATAGAGCAAAGCTATATGTGCATGAAAGACTTTCAATGGAGGGTCTTTATAATCGTTCTTTAATTTCACTCATAAACCATTATTATTTCATAAAATTTCTGATTATACGGTACATACTCACGAATAGTTGTTAATTTCTTTCAGAATCGACTGTAATCGATGAGTGTCCGATTGATCGATACAGTTCTGTGTGTGAGATATGCGTGTGTGACTTGTGAGACGAATCACGAACACTAGGATGACAGTGCGTAGTACACTGTCGCACCTAACAAGGGTTTTCCGGTTGCGGTGACTGAAAGGGTGGAAGAGTGGTGTTGGAAAGTTCGTAAACGGATCAGGTAACATGTTCACGGGTTTGCATAATTTGCATTTGAACTGGACATATCGGTGAATTGTACACGTTCGCTGAGTCTCGTTATTGCCTGTTATATGAGGAGACAAGTGCGTCAGGTGTATGGCGGCCTATGGGTGCAACAAAGACGGGACGCGTGGGAAGATCGGAGAAGTAAGAGGAACAAGCAGTCACCGAGAAAACGGTTGCAATCGAACGAACTGAAATATATATCGACGAAAGTGAACGTGTTAGGTATACTCGATAGTCAGAATGGACGAATGTATGCTGAACGATTTGTTAGAGTGTTCGGTGTGTCTCGAGCGACTGGACACATCGAGCAAAGTTCTTCCCTGTCAACATACATTCTGCAAGAAATGTTTAGTGGAGATCGTTAGCACCCATCGGGAGCTGCGCTGTCCCGAATGCCGCGTGTTAGTCGAAGCTAAAGTAGACGATTTGCCTCCTAATGTATTGTTGATGCGTATTCTCGAGGGAATGCGCAATGCCGCTCCCAAACAAACAGTTAAATCTGTGACCAAGAGCAATCCAGGACCACAAAGACTTTTTGGTGGTCATCAGGTTACTCCAGCTCCTGCTGTAACTGCTAGTCTTACTACCACCGCATACACAAATGAACCAATTCGACATGCAAACGCTGCAGCTAAGCAAGTCCAACTACACAATCTGGCATATGGTCGTGCAATTTATGATTACGTGTCAAAAGTTCCAGGGTAATTTTTGTTACAAATACATTATAAATATTTTCATTTATAATTCCATCGATTCCTGTGAGAATCTGCTTCATCTGTTTGTTTGTTTTTTCTTATGTTTCAGTGATTTATCTTTCAAGAAGGGCGATAGCGTCATTCTTTGTAAAAAGATAGATAACAATTGGTGTTTTGGAGAAAGTGCTAACAGTCATGGAGTTTTTCCTCTTTCTTATGTTCAGGTAGCTTGAGAATATTTTAAGTATTACCTTTCCTGTTTTATCTTACTAACAATTAATAACTTGTACATTATAGGTAATGACACCATTGACACCACATATTCCTCAATGCAAAGCACTTTATGATTTTAGAATGACCAATGACGATGAAGATGGCTGTCTTACATTTAATAAGGTAAAAGAACATATTTATATAACTTGCCTGCTTCTTATACCATACACATCTGTTTTCTGTGAAACAAATACATAAGAAATGTAAAAAATACCTTTACAGGGTGAAGTTATTAGTGTAATTAGAAGAGTTGATGAGAATTGGGCAGAAGGAAAACTGTTAGACAAAATTGGTATCTTTCCGTTGGCTTTTGTAGAGCTGAACAGTGTAGCAAGAGCATTGATGAAACTTTCAACAAAGTAATTTTAATGAATTTACAAAGTAAACTCAATATTTACATCTGTATCTAACATAATTGTATTTTCTATGATTAGTGCACAGCCAGGTCCATCGAGAGTAGCACCTCCTACTCCTACTAACGAGGAAACTACACCCTTAATACCGACTGATCATTCGCGTAATATACAAACAACAAGTCAACCACGACCCCAACTTGTGCAGGTAATTGACTTACACATATATTGATTTTTAAACGAAATAAAAAAATATATATTAATTTGTAATGTATTTTTTTTTTCACAGAATACAAGTTTACCAATTTCCGATACTGTTTCGAATGTATCATCAGGAGGTAGTTCCTCAACTACTACTCCAAATACTCCTAATAGTTCAAGTACTTCTAGTAGTTCCAGCACTGCTCCTAGCAGTCCTAGTAGCCCGGCGACTTCTCCTCCTGCAGTTGGAAATAGACATAATATCAAACGTCATAGTTTCACTGCTGTTAATACTGGTCATCAGGCTCATCCACACCACAGACACAGTGCAGAAATACTCAGTCCTCCAGTGGACAATGCAGCTGGAAATAGTAACAGTAGTTGCAGCAATGACTCGTTTTCCCCTTTGCAGGTGAGACATCATTACTGATTAGATTTAAGGTCAATGCCCCTATTTCTAATCACGTAAGAGTTCCGCTATCACAGAAATTGATTTTTATTATTTATTTATGCAACAATCGACAAAAAATCTTATTAGATATAAAATTTAAACCTCCCTTTATAATTAAATTTAAATAAAAGTGTTTTTAAAAACATTTAAACTTAATAATAGTTTATTTAATATGAAGTATAAAATGTCCCTATTTCTGCTCAGCAAAAATGGAAGTGTTAAAATCAAAGTTTGTCGAACAATATTAAAGATTCGGCACCGTAACGGCACCGCTCAAATCACGTTTCTTTACGACGGATACACTTATTAAATTTATTTCTATTAAAATGCTGCGATCTATTGAACAGCGGGCTGTAGTATTTTGTATGGAAATATTGAACTAATTAAAATAATTTTTTGCGTAACTAATTTATTATTTAACTTTTTACATTAAATAAAAAATATACGTACTGAGCAGAAATCAGGAGGTGATTAGAAATAGGGACATTGACGTTATGTTCGAAAATTTTACATGCTTGTAAGCTTCAGGTAAGCTGCAATGGTACAAATTCGTATTTTTCAGGCTAGTGCAGGCGGCGCCGATCACAATCTTCGGCACAGACGAAGTGGCAGTAGTGACCTTGTTCTTGCGCAACCGTCGCAGAGTTTACCTACAACTACCGTCGTTAGTAGAACTCATTTACCAGCTGCATACGTAGCTGTGCATCCGTATAAACCGCAAAAGCCCGATGAGCTCGAATTAAGAAAAGGTGGCACTTACATGGTAACAGAACGTTGTCAAGATGGATGGTTCAAAGGGACTTCGAAGCGTACACAAAAGTGTGGAGTCTTTCCTGGAAATTATGTCGTGCCCGCTAAGTACGTCAGAGATACCCATAGGGTAGATGTACCAATTACTGCCACCTTAAGATTGTAGCGTAACTTCATTTAAACATTTTACGTGTTGTTTAACCTATAAATCGTCTCAGTTTGGAACATAATATTATTTAACATAAAATATTGCCCCTAATACTGTTTCCGTTAATTATCATAATTTAACAAGAAATACCTATCACTCGTTTTATTAATTGTACCGTAATTCTCATACACTTTAATTCATTTTGTGCAAGATATATAGATTGAATAATATAATTACGGCTCTTTAGTATACTTTCGTCATCACTTCCTACTTACGTAGACGCGTTTTTGACCCTCAAATTACACTTTCATTTTTCAACATTAATTTTTAAATGCCAGATACATACAAGTACATGTATTTATTATTTTTATGTAAATCAGAGTCCTAATTTAATAATAAAATTTTTTGTACGCAATTCTTCGTACATCGTTTCGTTTTTATTAAGTAAAATAAATAAAGTGGCAGTATTAGAGACACTGGCAGTAATTGGGACATCTACCCTATACTACAAGCACATTTAAAATATAGTTCTCTGATCTGAATTGGCGATACATTTTCATAGGTATCTGGTTAATTTATTCGGAGGATCACAGAATACGGGGCAACATCAAAGTTTCCCGTCATCGACTGGTCAGAACGGTTCCGAATCACGAGTTACTGTGACATACACCAAAAACAAAGGACCTGCTCCTCAACCGTATAGTTCGCGCACCTTGTTACCACCAGAGTTGCCACCACGAGCTATCAGTCCTTCGCCTATGGTATCATCGTCTTGGCACGGTCCAAGTCAAACTCAGAACCAAGAGAAAAGTCCTCCACGACCTAATGAACAAAATCCGGTGAATCCTCTTGGGCGCAGTCACAGTGCTGTGATGTCATCGAATATTTGTATGTAGAAATTGTATTAAATATACGATACCAGTGTATGCAAGATATACCTCTTTATATTTTAGCTTCGCCAGGGAAACAAGTTATACTGCCGCCGTCGGTGACTACAACTACTACCGGTGCTGGTATTAACAACAGCAATATCATCGCAACTGCTTCTTCCACCATAACTGAATTGAACAGAAGCCCAAACAATACTTTACGTGCGGTTGCATCCCCCTCTTCTGCCACTGTTGCTGCCGCTGCTGCTGTTGCTCCGCCTAAGAGCACCGAAAAAGTAACAATTCCTTGAAATATGTTTTTGCTTCATTACATCACTGCTATTAGTATTGTGCGATCCTGTGTTTGTCTTCTTTGGTTATAGCAGAAAGAGAAAAAAGATAAATGTGTTTCCTTAATGCGACGATTAACGAACATTAAAAAATCCAAATCTCCGCCACCTGCGACATATTCAATGGATAATCCTGTGTTTGATGATGGTAATTCCATCAATCCGGTACATATTCGGTAAGATCTGCCTTCTGATACAATAACGACAGCTTTGTGCGTTGCACAAGTGTAATGCGTTAAATGTAAAGTGTTTCCACTTTTTATACAAATTTGGAATAAAACGAACACTGACTCTGAATAATAATGTGCATGCCCATAATATATCTAACATAGTTTTTTTTTCTTTTTTAAATCGCATGTATTGTTATTTATGTTTTTGTAAATATACAAGATACGTGTATTTGTGTATCTTCACCGTGTGTTGTACATTTTTCGCATTCGGTAAGATCACTGCATGCGTTTGATGCTTGCGCACATACATAATGGAAAAAACTAGCAAGTCGTCACATGACGTACAGAATAGTATAAACTTCTTCGTTCAGTGTATTTTCATTTAATTTTATCTTTGTTTTCTGTTTTTCTTTTCTATCTTAATATGAGCTGCGCACGTCTTGATTTATTTGTCTAATTCTACACGGGGGGGTTGGGCGGGTATATTTAAAATTAGATCGGGATCTTGCCCAAGTCAGTTGCTACAGGTGGGAGCCACACAGGAATTAAATACTTCAAACAACCATCATCGTTTGTGTCCAGGCTCTGTACAAGGGCACGTCACATCTTCACAAAGACTTAAATACAAGGAGAGACCATCTTTACCGGTCTCAATCCTACAGAGGTTAGTCGTTGCTTATAATTATAAATCTTCTTTTGGCAAATAGAGTCGCTAAGAGATACATAACGTCCAGAGTAAAGTATATTTGTTCAGCTCATATATGAAATTGGAGATTCAGTTTTGTATTTGACGCAAATTTACGTGTGTGTGTATAATAATTGTGTGATGTATATGTTTGTCCTGTATTAACGTTTACGATTAAATGTGCGTTAACATAGGTAAGTATGCGGATGAAAACTCAAAGGATCGTTTGTGTTATAAATGCTTAGTATGTTGATAGCGTTAAGCATTATGTTTCACGCCTGTCTTACTTGGGCACGTTTTTCAATTGCTTTTATTGTTTCCCTTATTACGATCACAAATTCCATTAGAACATTGCTCGTTAATTGAGTATGCGTATATATGTATATTCACTATATAATAACTGCACACGATTTAATTTTATTTCTACAAACCAGTTGAGTTTGATTATATTTCTATTCTCTTAATATTGATAGATCCAGCGAATCCGGTGGAATGATGTGTACAACAGTCGGAAATCACCACCGTAAGAGCAACTCTTTGGATGCTGGTATGGGAAAACAAACGAAACAGCAACCTTCTCGCGAACGGTAGTATTTAACTATTTAATACTAACAATCTTCATTATTTCATTTATTTATGTTATTCACGTTATAATTGAACTGCGAATGTTTATGAAAGTGTAGATTTTTATGGGAGATTTGGGGCTCACACGACTCGGCGTCATAAAGTTATTATTATTGAGAACTTCCTAGACAAAATTATTCCAACGTTTCACCAGCATTGTAGCGGATCCTACCCAGTCAGCCAAACATGACCGATGTCAAATTGAGAGGAAAACTGGAATAAGGTTTGCGCAACCTAGTTTGCCGCCTATGTTGCTGTTAATGTGCGCACAAGTTGTTTATAGCAAAATTTGTAGCCATAACTTTGTAACAGGCATTAGACAAAATTTTGCTTTACAGGTTTGGCTGACTGGGTGGTTACAATGTAGACGAAACATTGGCAGTTCACACTTTTATGTTTTATACAATAATTATTTTATTTTTACAGAGAACGCGTGTACAGATTCCGCTGTATTGTGCCATATCCACCTAACAGTGAATTCGAATTAGAACTACGTGTAGGAGATATAATTTATGTACATAAGAAGCGTGACGACGGTTGGTACAAGGGTACACAACAAAGAACTGGACGTACAGGACTTTTTCCGGCAAGTTTCGTCGAAGCCTTCTGAGATACAACACAAAGCCATTTTTTATTAGAAACTTGTATATAATTCTGCACAATGATATACAATCGTATGATCGTCGGTACGTGGGTAAGTGTACGGTTTTAATAACAAAATTAATTCGTACTGCACTGCATAAAACGGTGTATCAAGCATACGCTTGTGCATTACACGCAGTACGTTCTCGTGATTTTTTGTCATGATGATAAAATAAGATACATATTTAGCGTGCTAAAAGTAATACAAGATATATACTGCCATTGGTCTTATAAACAAAAGGACTAGTAAAGAAGTATGAGATTGTGCTATATCGATACTGCCATTTGAACAAAAAATTTTTCTAAAGAAATATAAAATTAATTTCATGATTACTCTGTGTGTAATAAAGATTTGTGAAGGTAATTATACATATTTATATCGGAAACTGTGTATTCGTGTATTCTAATAGAATGATCGTGAAACTATACTAAAAGTACGTTTCCTTTTAATGCATGACATATTATTAAATTCTGTGTTACTATTGTCTCAATTTTTTACTTTTCTCTTATAAAAGGATTGTTGTTTAAATACCAGTTTGGAGAACAGACAACCGACTGGAGTCGTTAAGGTTTTACTTGATCCTTTTCTATATTGTTGCTTTTAAAGAATTTACGCAGTATGTTTTGTGATATCATTGTTTGTAACATACAGGTTTCAAGTATTTTTTATCATTATGCCACGTTTGTATTTCATTACGGTCAGTTTTGACAAATAATATTCTACGAGTACACTTTATGTTTCTATTGAATTATGTTTTCGATTTTATCTAGTATGGAAGGATACAGAAGTTTTATAGACTGTGTTATGTCTTTGTTAAGGTACTGTCTCTCTATTTATACAAATACATATCTCAAGAAACGTAATAATTTTAAGTTTTACGCGAAAACACGGGTCGACAATTTTATGAAATATGTAATTGTTAAAGACTGGCCTATACTTTTGCACAACAATAGATGTTTCAGTTCAATAGATTTCGATAGATGATTAAGCGATATTTTTGTTAATTCTAGAAAAATTGTCTTTATATCTGTAATATATAGGTAGGAGTGTATAATTTTTTTTCTTACTTAGAATGCATGTGCACGTTCGTGCATGGTTGCTACAAAGCAAACGATTTCATACGAAACCGTGTGAAATTAACAAAGATGAATTTACGTGCTTCCAGAGGCCGAATAACGATCAGTATTTAGGTGCATATTTGTGTTAATTTCCTATTTAATATATTATCCATGATCATGCACAAACATTTGTATGTAACTCTATACAGGTTAGCATCACTATTCTGATAGTAATATTTACTTCAAAGCGATGCTTACGGTTCATAGAATAATACGTATAAAAACACATTAAAATAATATTAGAAAATTCGACAATTTCAATATGCATTCACAAGTCTGATCATGTATTATCCGTCTATATATAATGTAATTTATTTAATTTATATACTTCCGTTTTCCGAACACCGCAATAAACTGTTTTATAGATGTTTACTATTATAATACGTCTTCATATATACATATACATATACGATGTAGAAATAGTATACAGAGGAAGAGAAAAATTCATAAAAAAAAAATACGAAAAAGAAACACGTAACTTAACGATTAGATAATAGTAAATTGTTTTCTTCCATTAGAGCTGTTCTCATTTTAACGTAATTGTTATTTTTAATGTCTAAATACTTCATAGTTTTGTGTCCTGAATTTCAATAGAAACATATTTGTATTTCTCCTGATATATTTATACTTTTTTCCCTCTTCCTCTGGCATTAGAAAAAAAAGTATATCTTCATATTCAGTAGTTCACACCTCGTAAAAAGTGTATTTATATGTATGTGTTTTATATAACATCAGCTTAAGTAATTTATTATCAATAAGAATAATAGTTTGTAAAAGAAATATTACTTGATTATAATAGGTCAATTTCAAGCACAGTACTACACTAATAGAAGTATGCATTCGTAATTATTGTAATCCGAAAACAAATGCAACTTGCCGTTTGGATGTTGGTTAATTTTTTTATTTTAATTTGAAACATGATATTGGCATCTAAATATAAATAAAAAAATCGGTAATTACTTAAAATTGTAAATAAAGTCTGACGATGTAATCGAAAAATCTACGCATACTTTACAATGATGTAGTGTAATAAATAGCAAAATTGTAATTAATTATTGTACTCAGTTTTCTATCACGTACAATTTTGCTATAAAGAAGAGCTTATAATTAAAAACTTGTAGGCATAATGATCGTATACAATTTTCGAAATTAATAACGTATGCGTAAATTTAAGTAACTTATATGTAAAAGATACACAAGTCAAGTCAGCAGTTTTTCTTATGTTCGATTTAGTAATTTTTGCCTAGGATAGATGTCGTCCATCATTAGTTTCACGTAACTTAGTACTTTGTACTTTGTTACAAAATCATGATACATATTGTATCAAATCCGTCTTTATATTATACCCAGCGTCATTTACCATAAAATTACTATTTAACTAATAAATACAAGGTGTAATAAAATTCTACAAACAACTATTGTAAAATCTGACATTTACGAATGAGTTCTTTTTCCCTAATACTGTGATTCATTGCTAATAAATTTTCTGTGTCTAAAAAACTATTGACTTCAAAATCGTTTAAGTGCATATTGTTCAATACCATAATACATTTAAAGATAAAAACTCATATACAATGAACTTGAGTTGAATGACTTCTTATTAAAGAAAGTATTGAAATACGAACATTAAAATAATCAAAAGCATAATGTAGTAAGATGTGCTATAATTTCATCAGACTTGAATAATTAGTATCTTACAGATTAGGAAAAAGTTTCTGAGAGCATATAACTATTTACTCGGGATCGAAACGAATTTTACATGTATTTAATATGCTTTTATAGAGAGAAGATATATAGAGATCTTAAGTAAAAATAATTTTATGAAAAGAAAGTATTATCAACGAGAAAAAAACGCAAAACACAAATAAATAGGTATATTGTCAACATCAAATAGTTTTTCGGTATGTCTGAAAGTAGAAACGATTGTAAATAACTTCTTAATTGCGAAAATGTATCAGATGATTATGAACAATTATAGCAAAGTCAGTTCGAGTTGTGCGTTAGTGATAACATTAACGTTAAAGGAAATACAATTATTACTGGTTTTCAACACAAAGAGCGTTCTTGTTATCAGTGTTTTGTATTGTTTTTTGTTTTATATATTTGTAAAGGTAATATATGCACTATTAAATTAAAGGAAGCGCAACAGACGGGTGATTCGTGTCTCCGTAGGGGAATACAAATGTCAGTCAGTGTATAACAGTAGCCAGTAGTGTATTCATCCAACAAGCTACTGTAAGTTCTTTTCAATTTTGCTACTCTTATCTGGCGCATTTATATATTACGATAAAAATAAATTGCAATTCACTTTTTTCTGTTAAAATATTAATTATATATTTAGTTCTGGTAATTGATGTATGATAATCTCCATTTTTATTCGTTCTTTACGTTACTGTAGAAATATAACAATCAAACACTACCATGAAGAATCAAAATATATTTGACATTGAATAAGCCAAGAATAATTGATTTGTTTCTCTGCTTTTGTTTTCAACGTTTCTACGTTTTCTCTCAATACTTTGCGCTGTCACTGACATCCTGTTAGTTTTTATACACATACTTATAATTTTTAATGGCATGAGTACAGTCAATATAAGAAGTTCAAAAAAATTCAATGAATCCAACCACTTATGTCATACGAGCCTGCTGACAACAACATTATGTAAAGCTGAAATGCGTCGCTGTATATAAATGAAATTTGATATTCGCGCTTGCGAGCCTTTCGTCGAAAGGCAGACAGCGAATATATGAAAGAGAACGAATAAGAAAAGAAAGCAATATGCTGTGTCAACAAATAAAAATGTTATATAAAAGGGTCAATTGATTTTAATTAATGTCTATATAGGTTATACTTCATTCCATCATCCAACACTGATTGTATACGAACGTGTCGCACGTTAATATGCAATGAACTGAAATGATTCATAATTTTCAATTGCTAATCAGAATGTATATTCTATTTACTCAAAGTTGATCCATTTTTAATGGATACAGCTGTTTATTTAAACTAATGAAAACTAATAATGTTTTTTACATAATCACTTTCAATTAATCAGCGATTATTACTATTAAAATATTTTTGTTTTAAATTAGTCCCGTACATTTTAAACTGAGTGGATTTTGATAGCAACAATGATTGTTGGAAAAATTCTGTCATTCACATTGGCAAGAGCACGATTGGTTTCCTGTACTCAGCCTCAATTATTAAATCAGAAACAGGACTTGGTAATGTAGATTTGTTCCTTTATGGGTTTTCTTTTTTGTAGTAATTTATGTTCTATTATTCTCCTATTTCTTGTAATGGTTTATTCTTTAATAATCATTTTTTCAAAATCAGACCCTGTTCCTGTTGGTGTGCAAACTATCCAATTATCATGTTACAAAGAATATTGAATATATCTCTCAAGGTAATAAAATCAAGAACTTTGACGATCACATAAAACATTTCAAGAATACCGAGAACAGACCTCTACTGATTATGCTGACTTGGCTGTTGTCAAAACGCAGACATGTTATGAAGTACGTGAATCTTTATACAGAACAGGGTTTTGACATTGCATTAGTAACAATGACACCTTGGCAACTAATGTGGCCTACAAAAGGTTCAAGGGTAAGTAGACTAGTAAAGACAATAGAAAGAATCGATATTTATGGTATATAATTTCCCTAATATTTTCTTTATAGGTAGTTGCTGCAGATTTATTAGATTTCTTAATACAGCATGAAAGTTACCAGCAAATATTGTTACATGGGTTTTCAGTGGGCGCGTATATGTGGGGAGAAATATTGGATTTAATACAAAGTGATCGCCAAAAATATGCTCATTTAATCGATAAAATTGTCGGCCAGATCTGGGATAGCGTGGTCGATGTCACTGAGTTAACAGTGGGTACACCACGTGCTGTATTTCCAAAAAATGAAATGTTACAAAGCATGTTCCAAAAATATCTAGAGTAAGTCCATTTTTCATTGCAGTCATAAGCGCGTGAATGCCTTAAATTTAACATGTATTAATATGATTTTCAGATATCACTTAAAAACATTTCATAAACAATCCACTCAGTATTATATACGATCTAGTCAATTATTTCATACAAATTTAGTACATACTCCGGCATTATTTTTCATAAGTAAAACAGACATTGTCGGCACGTTAACGAGTAACTTCAGAGTACGCGACCGATGGGACACTTTGGGTGTAAAGGTAAGAATTTTAATTATGCAAATCAAGATAATACATTACGCTTATGTCTTTGTTTTTCAGACTTACGTCAAGATATTCGAGAAATCGCCACATGTTGGACACTATTATAAATATCCAAAAGAATATGTTGCAGAACTTTATGCTTTTTTAAATAAATTACAATTAATTCAAAATGAAGAAAAAATGAGAGCACACCTCTAGATATATAGTTTAATACTTTTCATAGATCATTAATTTGCATTCGTAAATGATGTATGACAGTACATGTTGTGGCACTTATTAGATATGCAGTCTTGCTAATTAATTTAACACGAAGAAAAAATGAGAGCATAACTCTAGATGGACAGTGTAACACTTTATCATATACCATTTACATTTATAAATGATGTATGATTGTACATGTTGCAGCACTTGTTAAATATGCAGTCTTCTAATCCAAGTATCGCATAAATTCATTTACAGGAAAATGAATGCCAAATGTAGATTTACTCCAATTATAAATTTTCACTAAAACATCTTTGATACCATATGCTTTATTGGCTGTAATATAAGAACGTTATCATGTGCAATATTCCATAGTATAATTATAATAATATTATAAAGGTACTAGAATCGTGTACTTTTATAATTATACAAATCATTGATTGCAAATAAGTATGTTATGTATGTAAAACGAGTATGTCACATCTTGCATATTTTGTAGTTGTTTCATACTTGTTCTTTGAAATTAACAGTTACCAACAAGAAATTTGTACAAGTGAATATTTTCTTACTTTTCTTTTTAATACCAAGTATAATAATGATTAAACTGTAATTACCCAGTATATAATATAAATTACAATGTGTTTTTCATCTACTGAGAATGACAATCGTTACATAACAATAATTTGACTTGTTCAGTTTTATGGTAGATACAATTTTTATATATAATAAAACGAGCTAAGCGCACTTATCTGCATTATATGCATTTTCAGCAAGTTTCCTTCTGTTCTTCTTCTTTAATTTACGCTCTAGTATCTCTTCGATTTCATCTGGATCTTTCCCTTCAAGAATAAGCTTTTTACGTTTGTTTATCATTCTCTTTTCATAAAAGTCTGTTTCATCCAGCTTCATTTCTGCTTCCCTTTTAGCAACCGATACTTGCGTAAAGATCGTAACTATTTCCTTGTCTGTATAAAAAACATAGCATTAGTTTGATACCATGTTTGATCTATTTAAATAACAAATTTAAAAACACATTACCGTTAACTTTATACTCTGTTAATTTTGTTCCGATAGTATCCTCAATGGCATGCAATAATTTGATATCGTGTGGAGTTATTAGAGTAACAGCCATACCATCTTTGCCAGCTCTGGCTGTTCTACCAACTCTATGAATGTATTCCTTTGGCACATTTGGCACAATATGATTTATAACCAATTGAACTGTAGGAATATCTAAACCTCTTGATGCAACATCTGTAGCTATTAAAATCTTTGTATGATTTGATTTGAACTGGCTAAGCGCTGTGAGACGATCCCTTTGTTTTACCATTGCATGAAGAGCTACATTTTGAAAACCGATGTCATTTAATGTCATAGATAACAACTGACAATTCCTAAAACATAATGCGTAACGAGACATTTTTCTTTATATTCACATTACTAAAAACGATGCATGTAATTACTTGCAAGTATCTGTAAATATCATTATCGATCCGTCCTTGTTAGTCGATCGGAATGTTCTAACTACTTCTATCAAAAAGGAGTCGCGTACATCATTTGGACAAAGTACATAACGTTGATCTAATTCTTTTACAGTGGCTACACCAGATTCGTCATTAGATTCCCACATGAAGACCTTGAAAAATAATTATCATAGATATACTCTGTTTTTCCTCTGATTCATCAATTTTCCAGAAAAATTTATACCTTGCCAGATGCAATGTGTTTCACTTTATCAAGAGTATCTGTCATTGTTGCGCTGAAAAGAAGAATTTGCTTTTGCTTAGGCAGAGCATTAAATATAGTTTTCAACTGGTCATCAAAGTGACCTCCAAGAAGCCTATCAGCTTCATCGAGAACCAAGAACTTAATTCTTGCCAAAGAAAATGTATCACAACTTTCTAAATGATCTGCTAGACGTCCTGGAGTGGCAACAACAATATGCGGGTGCTTTGACAATTCTAAACCTTGAACAACCATATCCATTCCACCAACAATTACGCACTTCTTTAAATTAATGGACTTTCCTATTGCTGAGAATTGATCTGCTATCTAGATATACGAGTTTTCATTAGAGTATTTGCAAACACAAAATGTAGAGAAAAAACATATCTATAAATATACTTGAAAAGCTAGTTCTCTGGTAGGTGTTAAAATCAAAGCAAATATGCCATAAGGATCCTCGGACAATTTCTGTATAACAGGCAATGCAAACGCAAGTGTTTTACCACTGCCAGTTTTCGCACAACCAATGCAATCATCACCAGCTAGAATTCTAGGGATACAATTCTGTTGAATCAACGTCGGTGTCTTCAAACCTAAAACAGTCATACAAAAACATTCTTTATTTTTTACTGCAATTAATATTTTAATTAACACGTACCCATAGAATTACACTGATTCACTATCCAAGGGCTCAAATTTAATCCAGCAAACGTCATGGTTCTTTCGATTTGATGGGAAAATCGATTTGTTTACAAATAGTCCAGGTTAGCACGTGGTGTGATAACATGTGTCATTTAATAACACTTCATCACCATTTAAGTCCGATTCCATATACAGAATTACTTCCTCCGTAAACAAAGTAAATCAATAATTGACAAAATTGTCAATATGACAGTCCAGTATAGCACTTTAAATTAACACTTACGTTTACATTAGTTACAACAGGTTACAAGTTACAGTATCATGGCTGACAACTGTCAATCGTTGTAACCATCTGGCGGCTACCATGTAAATCAAACGTGCTCCTGACCATATGCATACGTTCGTGGCAATTACATATCTACAAATGGGTTGCATGACAGAAGGGGTATAGAATGGGCTTCACATCTAATATGACCGAAAAATAATTGGCGCGGAATATTAGTATTTCTTAATAATTTTGATCTTAAAAAATTTCTCCCAATATGTTCTCTCGGAATATAAAATTGCTCTACATTGTTTTCAATAAAGAAGAATAAAATACCCTCGGTGGATGTCTTCTTTCTTGAGCTTGCACTACTCTTACGTAGATGTGTAATGATTATAGAATGAATCAAAATAAAACACAGTTAATTATAATAAATTAAAATAAAACACAATTAAGTTTGATGAAATTTAACAAGGTTCTTATTTTATTTTTTTAATATAATTTTAATTTTAATTCCAATAAAAAACAATATTCTCAAAAATATCTGCAGTTTTTCAAACAAAGAAGCACTGTATAACTTGTACATGTATTGTTTGATTTTATGCTTGGATACCGATTTGAATTTATTATTTTAGAAAACAAACATTTTTTATATAAACTTTTTATTTCGAACTTAACTATTTTCATTTACTACTTTATAATAGAAAAGTTCCACACTGCTTCATGACCGGGGTACTCAGATACCCGCCCAGCAATGACCGTTATTTAAAACCCTTTAACCGATTTTAACTTTCTCTTTCTATTTGAGACAATTTCATGTTGTATTCTTTGAACTAAAGAAAAGAATTCAGTAACATACTTGCTGAAAACGTTCAGTCCTTCTGGTTCAGTTTTATACGAAACATCGAGCAAAGCGGACGTGTTCGAGTACTCCTAAGTTGAATATTATATTTCTTTTGTCTGTTGTTTTATTTATTGTATTTTCGAGTATTTTGCATCGGTAAACATTAAAATAAGTTTATTATTGTGTGTAAGTTTATTGTGAAAAAATGGAAGATTTATCAGCGGCAAAATTTTCGAGGTACGTAATTATAAAATATATCATATATAGGGTGCGGCCGAATAACATGTACAAGTGTACAGGAATTGATTCCTCATGATGAAATAAGAAAGTAATATAGAATAAAATTGTTTCCTTCGAGGCTTAGTTTTTGAGAAAATCGAGTTTTAAAATCCACTGCGTGCGTATGAAATTACGTACGACTAAGATAGGGTTCACTGAGCGACTATAAATCATTTTTATGATCCATTATTATAGTTTCATTTTAAAATTATACGTTAGTTATGATTTATTTTTGTGTTGTAAACTTTGAAGTCGATTTTTGTTATAATAACAAAAAAAAATGTTGAACTTCAAATAGATAAATCGATCAGAAATGCGTTAAATAACGAGAATCTGAAGGGATTTAAAGACATGTTGTTGTGATCATAAAAAATTTCAAGCTCAAAGTCCCAATTTGGAGGTAAACAAAATTACTTTTCGGGTACTAGGGTGAAACAAAATTACTTTTCCGCGAAGTGAAACACAGACAATAATTATTAGAACCTTTTGTTCCTTTCCAATTTATCCTCCACGTCCACCTATTCGTTCTTTCCAGAGTCAAAGAAAATCGGGTTAGGTAGCGTTACGAGTCGTAAATGCAAACACCGTTTTGGCGTTACCGCGGAACAGAATCAAGAGCTCTTTAAAGAGAAGAAAATCAAAGAAAAGAAACGACGTTTCGTACGCGGTACAAGCCCAATAATAAATAAAAGTCCGGTATTCCCTCGAACGTAACGCACGAAGAATCATAAACGTTGTCGAGGAAGGATCGTTTTCGCAGTTTATCTTATCGCGCCGTATGACCTCTAACCTCCGTACAAATACGAAAAGCAAGAAAAGACCTTTGGCACCCGGAGACCCTCTCCCCCTGTACGAGAGGCGAAGTACTCCGGTTGATTCGGTGTCGTTGTCCATTCGGTCGGCGAGCTCGGTCCGGGCAGGAAGCACTTACTTAATCCGATACGACCAGCCGCTTCCCATCGGGTCCCGCCCTCTTCGCCTCTTCTGTACACGCACCCCAATCACGTTCTCTCAGTTCGATCTTTCCGTTCCGTCGAGCAACGAGTCGCCCCACTGTGGTTCCGCGCGCGCGACATCGAATCGTGCGAACCAAATTAAAACATCGTCACCTCTTTAACGAATACATTCCAGACGGTACATCAGTGAACCAGTGATATATAATCGTCGTTTCGTGTAACAGGTCGTTTTGTTCTCTTTTTTTTCGCCAGTATCCATCAGCAAGTTTGAAAAAGTTGGAACGCGTATGGTGTTCGGAGCCGTTTGGTGTAACCGTCGTTTCCTATTCGAACAGTCACCGGTAGAGGGCGCGAGGTATTCAGTTCGCGCGCGGCGTGTGACGGGAAGTTGAAACGAATTCCTCGTTCAGAGTTTACGTTACAGTGAAATCTGATCGCGTGATTCGAGAATATATACGGTGGCAGAATGGAATAGGAGACCGTCCCTTGCGGACGAGGGGATGAAGTACGCGTCGTGACAGGTGCAGCGATCTCGTGGATCAAACGGAAAAGAAGCGACAACAAAAACATTAGGATGGACGAACGATCGTGGTGCCGGGCGGCGATTTTCGTTGTCGCGATCTACGCCGTGATCGGCACGGTACAGCCAGGTAAAATAATCATTTTACTTCAGTGAACCAAGATGATCAAAGATGATTTAATTTCTGTCTCTGTATGGAACTTATTAACGTCTGTGTATCGTTCGAACTCTCCTCGTACTATCACGAACAAACTCGGCTTCCACTTAGGGAAAAAGGGGCGTAGAAGTTTTCTACCACTTGGTAAATTTATTCCAGGTAGTGAAATAAATGTTAATTGAATGTTAATTTGGCATACATTTCAGTAATTCCAAATACCAAATGGTAAGAGGCCCTTATCCTACGTCACTTTTTCCCCTAGTGGAAGCCGAATTTGCTCCTAAGTATACATATTCGGTTATCATCCGCGCTTGATACTCGGCTACGCGTGTTTTCCAAGAAGTTGCAGCGAGTGCACAGTTCGCGTATCTCGTCTCCCTTTTTATCGGTAATAGCGTAACCGTCCATTCACAACGCGGTTTGTCCAGCGGGAAACACGAGCCACGCGATTTCTAAGAACACGACTTGTTTTTTTTTCCATTCGTTTTTTAATCGTGCGTCGGTTTATCTCGTTTTAGAAATCATCAAGGACCCGACGCTCTGCAGCCGAACGAGATGCAAGGGTAAGCTGATTCGTAGAATTTTTCGTATTATACGAAACACGTTTCGCCGTAGATTGTATAGCTGGAACTGTAGAGTTGCGACTATCGAGAAGGTTATCGATGAATGTCGACAATATCGAAATGTTATAGATGTTTCGACATATCGATAATGTCGTTAAATTATCGTTAAGGTGAACAGAAACGACTTAGGTAGACTGTAACGCATTGTAATTGTATAATTGGTATTAAACACCCGCTAATACATTTTAATAATGTATAAAAGTTATATCTATGAAATTCAATGACATTTCCATTGATCATTCTTCATTATATTATAAATAAAAAATATATTTGGGTTAGTCATATGACTCTACGGTGCTCGTTTTTGGTACGTTTGGCAGTTGGTGCGTATTCAGTTTTCCCGGGTAGTCAATATTCAATATTCTTATATGTAAAGTTAATTATATTCTCGTGAAAATTAGAATTCACTAAAACACAAAATAAGTAAAATATTTTTTAAACGTATTTGTATTACGCGGGTATGATCCTATTTCAGCAACGTTGCCAAGTCCTCCACATACTCCGAATAACCATACAATAATCTACATATCCTGGACTTTATTGTCAAATATCTTCCTGGATTGTCGCTCGGCTGACGCCATACAAAAAAAAAAGTTAAATTTTGTTGACCAGTGTAATCGATAGTCGCATCTCTAATAGGTAGCCGAAGGATTCAATTTTCCGCGTGTTTCCAGTGCCAGCGAGTCGAAAATTCAAATACGAAGAGGGTGTCCAGTACCGGTACCGGTATTCCGTGGACGTGAGCACGAATCTCGGAGGCGAGAATTACCCGGAACCGCGGAACGAGTCAACGTTGAGGCTCGACACGGACCTGATTGTCAGTTTCACCAGCCCGTGCGAGGGTAATCTGAAGTTCTACAACGCTAGTTTGAGCCACGATGCACGAAAGTACAATTCCGAGTTCCCGGATCGTGCTGGCGCCGATTTCAAATCGAATCTCGAGCGATACAATCTTCGATTCGCGTTCGACGATGGCCGGATCGACGAGCTCTGCCCGAGCAAACACGAGCCGGTTTGGGCGTTGAACCTGAAGAGGGGTGTTCTGTCGATGCTGCAGAACAACATGCGTCGATTCGACGTGGACCATCACGCGGAGGAGCTGGACGTGAACGGGATCTGCGAGACCAGTTACCGTCTGTACGAGGCCAAACGCACCAGTCTGGTGGTGAAGAAAACGAAAAGTCTCGCTAACTGCGCGTACGGCTCGAAACACTTCTCCGTGATACAATCGAACGTTTACAGAAGTCCACGTTCCCGTTTGTCGCGTTATCCACTTCTCGAGTCGCGTACCGAATGCGAGCTGACCATCGATCATAATGTTTACAAAGAGGTCGTTTGCAAAGATCTGCACAGGCTGCAACCGCTTTCCAGCGGGAAGACCGGCGCCAGAACCGAGTCGACCGCTGTTCTTCGATTGATCAAAGAGACGAAGGACGAACTTGTGGATGAATACGAGGGGAACGTCGAGGACCAGGCCGACGAGGAGGATGAAGATGATTACGTCAAGGAGAAACACGAGAAGGGATGGGATCGCGGAAGAAGAACCACCCTCATATACGATTACTCGAAAACACCGAGGACCGTCCACGGAGAGCTAAGAACAGCTAGGGATCTGTTGAAGATCATGTGCAGATCGCAACGGTTCTCCGAGACGTTCACTGGGTTCGTTCATTCGGCACGGCTTCTCGACTATCCGTCGTTGTCCCAATTGTTCGCCAGGGCCAACACCCTTTGCGAGAACGGAAAGTGAGTAGAACTTCAATGGAGTTTATTCGTTTACGATTCGGGGACGTTTGTCCATCTTCGGTGGGATGACAATCGGCTATTGTATGTATTGTTACGATGTGTAAGAATAGACCTTTTATTTTATGGGAGTTGGTGGCCCATCTAAACTGTAGTACCGACACCTTAAATAGCCTGTGATTTTAGTGACCTCTAAATTATGAGAACGCTGAATCTACGGTGGGTAGTGACACTAAATGTTATTCCGGAAAAGTGGATTTTTATAAGAAATATACATTGGATGAAATGTCTATTCTTATGCCCCATTGGTGGTATTGTTTTCGACTGGTAGTTTGACGGCTGACCGTAACGGATTCTCGGGGATTACCCGGGCTGGTTTTTCCATAATTAGGGACTTCTTCGTGCAATTGTCTTGTGCATACCTGACCAGCCGGGTATGTACACTACCGTACAGAAGTATTTATCTGGACACTTAAACTGGGTGTTCACTCTAACGATGTCCATGATTTTTCAGCCATTTTGACAATGTAATAAAGTTATGTTATTAATCAATATCTGTTTTGAGAGGACAAATAGGACTGTATCCTTATTTTTTTTTTCAATACTGCCCCGCTATTATAGAATTGCAATGTATAGGTTAAACAAATTTTTTTTAACTGTAATAATTTCTGTTAAGCCGTCTTCAAGATGTCACTGGGCATCATTTGCTATCTGGGTTGTATGTTTCTCAATTTCCTGCAACGGCGAAAAATTCTCTGAATGTCGTTCTTCGTGCTTTTACAGGAAACACATCGTGGACGCTCTGCCGTTCATGGGCAGCAATGCGGCCGTGAACGTGATGAAGGATCTAATAATAAAAAGATACGTCGATCAGACCACGGTGAACAATTGGGTGACAGCGTTCGCGTTGATCCCGCGGCCGAATCAAGAGATGATCAGGGCTCTTTCGCCCCTTTTGGAGTTCCAACGGCAGATCCCCGAGGCTCAGTTCATTCTGAGCTACTCTGCGATCATTCACGCTTTCTGTTCGACACAGGGAGCCTGGTGCAGCAATGTCGATCAGGTGTCGAAGTTCCTCTCGTACTTGGAGCAGAAAATCGAGAAGGGTTGCTCGCCTCGGGCGCACTCTGCTTCGACGATCAAGGACGTACGTGAATCAATTTTTTCGGTCTCGTAACTAAACTGATTAGTTTCATGAAAACGTCTTATACGATTTAGCAGCTGAAAAGATACGAGATATCATTAAATATCGAAACAAGGTGTCCATTTTGTTGATTTCCACTTGAATGAATAAAGTTCAATATAAAAGGAAGTGATGGTTAACACAATTGATTCTATTTTGCTGCTGCACAGTACTTTGAAATAACCCAGGTAGCACGCGACTCCTTGAAGACGCCCTTTTTATGGCTATTTTAGGTCTGAGACGTCTTTAAGCCGTCTTCAAGGCGTTATGTGCTATCTGGGAATGGTCCAGTCTTGTTCAGACGGAAATGAATGATTCTCAATACGATTTTAGACAATAGAGGCTCTGAAAGCGATAGGAAACATGGGTCTAGAAACGGATAGCCTGCTCACGCGACTGAAGGAATGCATCGACGACGTGGGTGGATTCCTGCCGATGGAAATTCGCGTGGCGGCGGTCGACGCCCATCGCAGGATGCCGTCTTGCGAGAGGACGCGAGATCTGTTCTTCCTGGATTACTACCGGAACTTCACATTGGACACGGAAATACGTATCGCGTCGTATTTACAGGTGATGCGTTGCCCCGATTACAACATCGTGAAAACGATCAAGCACACCTTGAAGATGGAGGAAGTCAATCAAGGTAGTTTCATTTTTTCTTGATACGTGTTTGGAGAGAGTAAAAACAAATCGAACTAATGACACATTTTTTTGGGTACACTTTCCTCAGAAATTCAATGGTAATAATCGAAAAATTGAAAAATTATTTGATTAACTATGAACATTAGAAAATTCGTATTAGTGTGGTGTCCGAGGGTTAACATTCATTTACTGAAATTTTAATGTTCATTTAATTTGCGTGAAACAATATAGGATGTCCCATTTTGAAAATATAAGAACACCTTCGAAATTTTGTAGAAAATGAAAATAATTATTCTAACGTACGTACCCGTTGGAACCATGCAACTTTCGCTGGAAATGTTTTTTCAGGCAGCAAAGTAACCTTACGATTAATTTGAAATCGTCAAGTTATGTGTTCCTTATTCTGTTATGGTTCCACTTGAAAACTCGACTTTCAGTCAATAACATCCAGATAGCACATGACGCCTTTAAGACGTCCATTTTACGATTAGTTTAAGGGGTCATTAGGCGTCATATGCTATCTGGGCATTAACAATTACATTGTGATATAATTATTAGAATATATGTTATGTGCATATACAGGGTGTTCTGTATATATTACAATATAACAATTATATTATACAGTCGGGACGTTCGTTTGGAGCCACTTGACGAACCTCTACAGTTCTGCGTCACCGACGAAGATCGAGGTGCAGAGTCTTCTGACCGACCGTGATCTCGGTGACAAGTTCAACAGCGACAGAAGAAAATTCTCGCGGAACTACGACGGATCGTTCTTCTCCGAGGAATACAATGTCGGTGCAAATTATCAAGGGAATCTGATCTTCTCCCCGAAATCGTACATACCCCGTTCGGCGACGTTCAACGTCACCTTCGATCTGTTCGGCGAGTCCGTGAACGTTTTCGAATTAACAACGAGACTCGAGGGACTCGAGTATTACGCGGAGAGGATATTCGGTCCGGACGGAGTGTACAGTAACGAGAAAGTATCGGGATTCCTTAAAACTTTCCTGAGAAGGTTCAGAGAGGCGCCGAACGAGGAAGACTACTGGAAACGCGTCAAACGGCTGCCAAACGTTATCGACAATAACTTCGATCATCCGAGAATTAGTCTCGGTTACAAAGTACGCGAGAATATTATTATAAGTAACGCTGTTCGACAAATTTTAACTTTCTTTTTCTACCTCATAACGGTTAACACTAGAACTACCAACGATAAACGCATATCTTTTTCGATCGATCGATAAATATCGCAAAGTTTTGAAACTTTACTAATTTCTTAAATGTCATGTCGTAATAAAAGTTACGAAAGATCTGAGAAAATGTATTGTTATAACATTTTAAGTTCTGTCTTCGTTTTTGCCAGGTATTTGGAAACGATCTAAAATACTCGGTCATAAACGGCGATAAAGAAATCCGAGAAGCTTTGTTACGCTTGAATCCATGGGAGAAATTTAAGCAGATTACTTCAGGAAAGGAGATTCACTATGAAAATGCCGTGATGTTCTTGGATTCCACTTACGTGGTGCCGTTGACGTCCGGCTTGCCGGTGCGTCTCGATTTCGCTGGCTCCGCGGCGTGCAATTTCAAGATGTCAGGGTTACTCGATCTGAAGGGGATCTCTAGAAATGATATCGAACTTGTCAGCAACATTGTGCCCAGGTATTTGCATGCCTATTGTTCGATGAGTATACAGGGTGTCCCAGGCAACTGGAACAACAGCCTGTTCCAGTCTGTACCTCCTAAACGGTTGGGAATAGAAGAAGATGTTATAATTAAAAGTTAAATGGTATCAGACGGTGCATAATGTGCAACTAATTTTATGCACTTTTGTGCCTCGGTGCATCAGAAAAATGCAACTGCACTTTTTTTTTAATCTGATAAAAGCTTTGTTTTTTTTATTGTATTTCACACATCTCCATCATCTATAAATGCATAAAATTCTAGTAATAACGATCGGACCGATTCTATTTGAAAGTGCAAATATTTTTTCACTTTTCTAAACAGCGTGAGCGTCGATGTCGTCGGCAGTATGACCGTGGACGCTTTTTACAAGAGCGCAGGCATCAAATTACGGTCGAACGTTTATTCCTCCGGCGGGGTTCAAGTACACTTGGACATAAAGGGATTGCGTCTTGCTCGTCTGAGTTTGGTTCTGCCGAGCAAAAGGATGGAGGTGTTCTCGATCGGAACGGAGATCCTTCTGACGGCGGGCAACGGAGCAAAAGTCGAAGAGAAACCGTTGGGTGTTATGGTCGCCGGCCAGAACGACAGAAGCTCGAAGCAAGCGTTTGTGCCCAGTAACATCATCAGCAACACAAGTTGTTCATGGACCGCTCTCGACAGACTAATAGGCTTAAAGTTGTGCTTCGATTATCAGTTATCGAACGTGACGAAGGACTCGAACGCGCCATACTTTGTCTTAGTCGGGCCCTCGCTCTTTAAGATTTCGCTGATCAAAGCGGACCCAACAGCCAAGAATTATTTGTTGGAGTACAAATGGGAGAAAACGGAGGTACCAATTTCTTCTTCAGGGAATCTTATTGTGTAATATCTAGACTGCGGATTTTAATGCAAAATAACATTTTCTAAAGTAATTTCCCAGATAGCATAACGCCTTAAAGACGGCTATTTTAGGTCTAAGTCGTGTTTAAGCCGTCTTCAAGGCGTCATGCGCTATCTGGGCTGTGAAGGCAAAAAAAATTTATTGGAAATTTATTTTTCCTTCTAAGTATCTTATTGGGTTCAGAATAAAATAGAAAACTCGTTGGATCCAATGAAAGTTTTGTCTCCTTTCTTCTATTTCACAGAGCCCTGTAGGTTATAAATGCAGAAAATCCACAGTCTAACAATTTCATTTCAGAGCAAGAGTATGTATAATGATTCTTCGTGTTTCGTTGCAGAAGCAAAATGTATTCAGAATCGCGTTCGACACACCTGGATCCCAAATGAACAGAGAAATAAGCGCGACCGTTTCCTTCGACGCGGAATCACATAACGTTACCGTTCTGCTGCGATCCACTGGGAATTCTATAGTGGCGGAGGGTAACGATATATTTTTTACCATTGACGCAACTTCAATAGTTAACACTAAACCTATCACGACCGGTCAAATGATCGGATTTGCCTCTTAGTCAGCCAAACCTGCAAAACCAAATTTTGTCCAATGTCTGTTATAAAATTATAGCTACAAATTTCATGCAAAATTTTCAGAAATTGACAGCAACATGTGCAGTAAATTAGCTTGCGCAAACCTTGTTCCGGTTTTGCTCTCAATTTGACATTGGTTATATTGCAAGACCAATTTGCTTTACCATTTTGTTAGCCGGCGTTGCTTGCAAAACCCAAGTCAAAGGCGGAAACAGATGGCTATGGTTTTTTGACAATTTCGTTATTTATTGCTGGCAATTTGCTCGAAACTTGGACACAATCCAGATAGCACAGGACGTGCAATGATGCCTTGAAAACGGCTTAAAGGCGCCTTAGACCTAAAATAGCCGTAAAATAGGCGTCTTAAAGGCGTCATGTGCTACCTTTTTGAATGGTTCGATAGGTTTAGTGTTGAGATTCGATGACGGAAATTAAAAGTCTCCTTTTCCAGGCACCTACAAGAGCACGGAAAATGAGACGTTTATAGACATAGGTTTCGACATAAACGGCACCAAACACTTGGACGCCAGTTTGGGATACTCGACCAAGAAGTTCACGTACGGCTACACTTTCAGCCCGCAGATGCACCTGATCGTGAACAACGAACGGATAGCAGCCCTTTCAGGTAATCGATTTATTCCAAATCTCCAACGCAAAGATTTTTTTTAAATTTTATTTTATTTACGGGATAATTCCCATTAGAATACAAGTGGAAAAATATATACACGAGAAATACAGTGACTAATCAGGAATCATTGGAGGCTCACGAAAGTCTGTCACCTGTATTCGATCAAATTATCTAAATTTTGAAAAATTTATTACAAAAGCATAATAAGAGCAGTAATAAACAGAATATATTAATAGAAGTTGCTTAAAAGTTTTGACACCTAATTGTTATTTAACACTTTATTGGCCGGTAGCTTATCAATAGGCTTTTAAATTTCAGCGGTTATAGACAAGAAGCCTATTAATGTTACCCTTAAATCAGGGTTACAGAAGACATTGTTACGTTATTCGATTAGACTTTTTGCTATTTTCCATGAATGTGATTTCCTACTATGATTGAACCGTCTAATAATATTTCCTTGGTTGTTAGTCGTTGGATCTACTGAACCTAATAAACAGCAACCGGTAGATAATCTGTTAAGAAGTCTGTGAACGAATGTGACTGTATAAAAATATTAAACTATATTTCCCGTGGTTTCGATATTATCTGTCTATCTTGACTGTAAAGGCACAATAAGGAACGCCTGGAAGAACGACGTGCTGCAATGCGACGTGGACATGACATTCCGTACGAAGAAAGTCTGGAGCAAGCTGGTCGGCTACCTCGTGAAAAGAAACGTCAGCCTGGCCAGTGATTTTCAGTTGGAGTATCAGTTGCAGAAGATGCCCAAGAAGGAAACTCTGCAGCTAGAAGTGTCATTGGCGAACCGTTCGTCCAAGACTCTGACCCACAAGGCGGCCGATCTGAAGCTTCGTTCCACCGCGTACCCGCAACTGAACACTGTAATAATCGCGTGGTACCAACAGGCATTAGGCCACCTGGAATTGCACGTCGAGGTCAATTCGAAGCCGCACCTGATGGACGACCGTCACAAGCTCACAGCTCAATTGATCCTCTCGTACTCGAAGATGTATTTCCAGAATCAGGACACGAAGATCAGCGCCCTGATCGCCATAACGAAACCCATACAGAACTTGGACATCAAACTGGGAGTCAACCATTACGCCACCGGGCCAGAGTCGAGAACCAGCCTGCTGATAGGATACGCTCCAGGTTCGCCAGTCGTAGCATTCTTTATAACTAGACTGCGGATTTTTATGCAAAATGGCAGTTTCTAAAGTAATTTAAAAAACAGGAGTAATTGTGGAAATTTATTTTCCCTCTTAAGCATCTTATTGGGTTCAGAATAAAATAGAAAGTTTTGTTTTTTATTGTATTTCACAGAGCACTGTAGGCGATAAATGCATAAAATCCGCACTCTATTTATAACAAATCATCCACAATTCCTGTACTGATTGTTTAACGTTTGATACAGATAGCACATGACGCTTTGAAGACGGCTTAAAGATGCCTTAAACCTAAAATACCCGTAAAATGGACGTTTCCAAGGCGTCATGTGCTCCCTAGTATACAGTATCGAATATATTTTTGCGAATATCTCGGAAACTAAAGCCGATCGCGGTAACATCTATAGGAAAAAGTCATTCAGAATGATGACCTTGACAACATATTTCAAGGTCATTCAAATCAGCGAGGATGTACCTATTCCGAATACTTACCTTTGACTCTTGTATTTATCTAGGAAAAGAGATCACTCTCACCGTGAATCTGGTAATGCCACGGGGATTGATGTTCGTAATGGAAGGACGCGCGAACCTAACGATCCCGAATCTGAACTCGATGTTGCTAAACGTGCGTATCACCGAGAGATCGAAACGAACCTACGAGTTGGAGTTCAGCGAGACTTCAGTGACCGGGTACAACGTGACGGCCAGGGGCACGTACTCCGACAAATCTGTCGCCACCGTTGTCAGCCACAGCCTGAAGCTGGTCCTCAGATCGTCAACATTCGTCGGCGATGTTTTGGTGAATTGCAAGCTCTACCGTAATTACAACGACATCAGGGTCAACATGCTCGTGGAACAGGTCGACCACGACAAATACGCGTTCGTGCTGAACCACACGGTCGTGTCGCCGAGGGATTTTGTGTCGTACATCGAGGCTCGATACAAGAGTAACGTCTACTCGGTGATGACGAACGTCGACACGGACCGGGAGGTACGCATGGAGGTGCATCTGGACAAATGGCGGGACATTCACCTGGCGTTGACCGGCGTGAACGAGGAAAACAAGAAAGGTTTCGGGGCGGAGGTGAAGTGGGACGCGAATCGGGATCCGTCGCTGAAGCTTGCGATTTTTTTCTCGTTGGACAAACCGGCGATTACGGAGGAACAGCTGCTCGAGAAGAATCTGAACGCCGTGATGACCTTCACTTATCCAGGTCGTTTTATCACCGGCTCGTGCCGCGTAGCCTCCAAGGGATACTACAATTACACAGTGGACGCGGCCATTCATTGGAATCCGGACAAAAAGATCGGATTCTTCATCGCCACGGAATACGATGTTAAGCCGTGGATAAAATCGATGAAGATGGAGAGCCAGTTCCTGACGCCGTTCGAGAACTGGAAGAGGACCGCATTGAGCGCAAAGTAATTCTCGTTTTGCATTCACTGTTCTTACTTTTGGTGTGTAAACACTAAATGCTACTTGTGAATCACTCGTGATTCGATCACGTTCGTTCCCAATCACGGTGATTTTTCACAGTGATTCGTGATTTCTCCTAAAGTGAAACCTAACAGTTCTCTACACGCGACACATAATCTGTATATTTTACATTAACGACATCGAAACAAAAATTCGAGTTATATCGTATAAAGTGAAGGAATAATTAGAAACAATGAAGAATAATGAATAAATTAATGATTATAAATTATAATCTACATGCTTGATCGATTGTTGTAATGAAACCGACGATATCAATATTTTCAAACCGTTCTGGCATCCTGCTGCATTGCCAAATTTGTCGTTCAGAAAATTTTAACTATGTTACAACTTACATCTCATACTTATCCCTGTAAATCGATCGATATTTATCGTACTTCTTTCGTAGGTACCTGCAAGAACAGAACAGGATCCGGCTAAGCGGAAAGGCTCACTGGAAGGATTCGCAACGTCTGATGGCCGATTTCGACGGCAGCACAGAAGTGCACGGAAAGATCAAAGAGTGGAAGGCCATTTGCGCAGTAACCAGTTCCGTCCACTCGATCTCATGGACCACCGTCAACATCACCCACAAAATTGTCGACGGTCAGACCGCGGACACGCGTTTGGTGGTCAATTACCACCCTGACAAGGTGATCAATGCGTGGAGCATCTGGTACTTGGACAAAGAATCCGACAACGTGTTCAATTTAACCGGTTACCTCCACCTCGAGTCCCCCGTGACCAGTTACAAGAAAACGGACATGAAGTGTCAGCTGCAAATACTGCCCGATTGGAAGTTCCTGGGAACAGCGAATCTGGACCTGGACATGAAGACCTACACAGGGAAGCTGATCGGCGATCTCCGTCGTTTCAAGGAGTCCATGGTCCAATTCAACGTGACCACACCGCTAGAGAAATTCTCCTTCGTCCGTGGAAGATTTGGTCTCTCGGAAAGTAAAAGACATGCGGTCGCCGAAGTGGTGACCCCAACAGGTCCTTTGGGCGTTGAAGCTCTAGCCCAATTCTTCACGGCTGGTTACGATTGCAACGTGAAACTATCGGTCGCCACTTCGTTGGACGTTCTCCAGCAATCCTTCCTGATAGCTAAACTGAACAATCGCGAGGTCGACTTCAGGGTCGCGTACAACAACATGATCGCTGGCTTCCAGGGTGTCTGGCACTACCGTAACATCACCGATTTCCATTACACCTATCTAATGTACACGCCTATCGCTGGGTTCGAGAAGATCGGCGTGATCGCTAAGCTGATCGTCGTATACACCGAAGAAGAGAAACTGGACCTAGACACGGAGTTCTCGGTTCGATTGCTCGAAGTACGCGTCGGGGTCAGAGCTAAAGCAGGACCCAAATCACCCCCTGTTAACATACCGATCAAATCGCCGATCAGCATGACGGAGAACACAACCATCGATGAGGATTATCCAGGCGTTGAACTGCTGGAAGACGAGGGGGACAGTAATCTTTACTGGCACGGCGAGATCGAGGTGAATCCAGGGATCGTCGAACCTGTCCTAGGCGAGCTGGACATAGACCACGAGGGTTCGCTGTACAAGATCCTCGGCAGCCTGGAATGTTTCGCTAAAAAGATTACTCTAGACGACAGGTTCTATATAGAAGATCTGTTCAACATGAGGAACGAATTAAACGTCCTGACTCCGTTCGATTTCGTGACGGAGATCGTCTGCCTGAACGCGTTCGTCGTGAACATAGAGGTGCCCAGTTACACGATGCAACTGACGGTGAACGTAAGACGCAAAACAACGTGGTACGAGTCCGGGATGGACGCGTCCTACACGTACAGCGAGAAGGAAACTGACGATTCGCAGACCCATTTCCTCAAGCTGAACATCAAGACTCCTTTAATGTTCCTTGTGTTTCTGAACACTAATACTACCCTCCAGGTGGACGAGAACTTCTACAAAGCCGTCGTTGGTATTCGTGCGCCGAACAGCGTGATCGATCTGCAAGGGTCCTTGGAGACCGAGGACGCGGTGATCGACACGGTCCTCGTTGTCGAGATCGATACGCCATTGGTGAAGCTACCGAGATCCACGATCACAGCGAAGAATGAGTTCACGGAGAAGGAACGATATGTGAAGTTCTGTGTGGATATTGCCGAGCCGGTCGCGAAGTCTGTGTTCTTTCAAAGCGATTGGTACATGGCGGAGGATCGTTTGAAGGCCTCCGTGAGCTTGAGGACGTGGCTGGAATCGGTGAAACGGCTCGAGGCTGATGTTTCTTACTGGAACGCTGTTGCTGTAAACGATACTGCTAATCTGATTGTACATGTGCTACACCTGGACGATCGAGAGTATAGATTGTCGGGGAATTACAGCCAGGGATCGATCGAGGCGGAACTCTACACACCGACGACGACCGAGCCGCACTTCGAGTTCCATGGGGATTTAAGAAAGATGAATGATACCTTGTATAATTTGGAAGGGGAGCTGGTGAACACGGTGACTAAAGGGAATCGTCAAGTATCGGCCACGTTTGTCACGAAGAATAATTCAATACACACTATGGAAATGCGAGTGACACCGAAGACGGGATCGTCTGTCGACGGTATAGGTAAAGATGGCATGATGTATACAGTACCGGACAAAAGTATTCGTACACCCTTTAAAACGGAACAACTTTTTTCAAATTGGTCCAAATGACTTGTGTTCTTTTGTAAAGTTGGGGACATTAGTTTACTAAACGATGTGTAAAAAAATTTTTAAAAGTTGTAATTGGGCGGAATCACGAAGAAAATAGTAAAGGTCGTTTTTTGCAACTTATTTATCAGAGGCTATAATGAAAATTTTATAAATACATATCGAAGATTTACTCTCTATAGAGAGTCAGCTACGAACCACCTTAAAATCATAAATCCTTGAAAATATATGCGTTCTTTTAATAGAGGCTGTTGGTCGTGTTTCAAATTATACTGCAATATTAAATATTACGCAAAAATTGTGTAACTCCAATTTGTTTCTTGTAGGGTTTCACGAATAGTTCATCATAGTTATCATGAATATTTACATAATAATTTTTAATCCGTATTTTAATCCAATTTGATCCCATCCACAGGTATAGGTGTGAAACTTAGAAAGGAGAAATACGGTTTAAACCTGGCCGTAGCAGGAGAAGCATTGAACGGAACGATGGACATGAATTTCATCAATTCCTTCAACTGGGACTTAAGGTCGAGCGCGGACGTTCTCGAAGAGTCTGGCAACAGGAAGCATTATCTGGTGAACACGTTTACAAACGCTCAGGTGAACGGTAATATAACCCTGTACGTTCACGCTGAAACACCTCTGGAGGACATCAGGAACGTCACCTTGACCGGAAACATGTTGCTGACCAAGACCAGCGGGGACGTCGGTGTTCGGAACAGTTTGAACGAGGACACGCATTACGCGAGCCTTCAATGGAGGCTGATGTACATGGTGGACATGTTCGGTAGAGTCCTGGCTGGATATCGAATTGAAAAGTACGGTACCAAAGACGTGGACACTCGGCTGTACTTCAAGAATCCTGGCCAATTGTTCAGGAACATCGACGCTGGATTCGACGTGGACGTTGATCGGGAAAAATGGAAATTCGCGGCGAACGCGACTGTTGGCTTCCGTGACCTGGAGAACATCGACGGGGTGTTTATTGTCAGGCTACCGCCACCAGATGGCGACGACCATCGGTTTCTGATCAGCTATCACGCGAACAAGGGCGTCACAGACATCTCATACGTGATCGGCTACAACACCGTGAAGGCCAAAACGAATTACGCCTCCGATGGATCGGTTCGTGGCCAAATACACTATGTATTTCTATTCTAGTGCGTTTTCTAACCCTTTCGTTACCACTGTTGCCGTATGGCTGCGTATTCTAAATTACGAAGTAAAATATTAGTATCGTGTATTTTGTCATATCTCTGAGTCACCTAACGTTTGAACCTGAAATATCTTTGTCGTTTTTAAAGATACGGCAAATGTCTTAAAGACAACGTTGAATGGTTCAATGGGGCACACGATGCCAACAACATTTTTGTTTTTAGAAATATCAAAGTCATCTTCATTCTTTTAAATGAAAGACCAAATATTTATTTGGTAATTTCTTAATAATACGGCAATGAAAGGGTTAATTACCTCAGTAGCATTTATGGTTGGCCAACGGTATCCAACAGTAGGGATATATAGTTAGTGTTTTTGCCTACACATTCCCAAAATGAGGCCTACAACGAAAAAGTTATGTCAATTTGCCAACGAATATTCAATGTTGGGGCTACAATGATTATAGTTGGTTAATTAACAAAAAATTCACAATGATAATACAACATTGCTCCACCCAAAGTTTGCCAACATTTAAATATGAACGTTGCTACAACCAAACACTTTTTATTATATTTCAAATGAATTTTTTTGTTTTTTTTTTGGACATTTTGTGAAAATAGAGTCAGGGGATAGAAGATTGGAAATAACTTATAATAATTATTTGTAATATTTGTAAACATAATAAATTATAAAGGTAACTTTGCTGGTAAACCACTCGTTTACCTTTTTAATGTACATATACAATTTATACATGTATATAATTATTATAACAAGTGATTAATATAAATATAATTTCCAATGTTATACTCCTTCAAACATTTGTAAAGAATTTCATGGAAGTCTAGTATAGCCAACTGTCTTCCTATTGTTAGTTTATCGTAGATACTCAACAATTGGCCCTAATTCTAACTGTTGGCCAACCAATAGTGCATCAAAGGGCCATCAAAATGCCAACAGTAATTGCTACTTGGGTAGATGATGTTTTCCCAAGTGTGTTATGTACGTTTACAGGTATACATGGGCAATCGAAACATCAATGGCCACTTGAGGGCATCTTGGGGAATGCTACCCATTCAGTCCGTGAACAATCTCTTCAACGTCAGCTTCGACAACAATCAAATCGATCTGAAGTACGCCCTTCACACACCGAAATTCCAACAGCAAGAGACACTAGTGTTTCTGTTTAATTACGACGCCACCCTGACCACGGACAGACGTTTGTTGAACGCGAACATATACTATCCAGCCAGCACGCATATCGGTTCGGCGAACGTGTCGTACGAGAGCCTGTTGAACGTCAACGGAACGGTGAACGCTGTTCTACCACTGGCGAATATCTCGCAGCTTGAATGCCAGTTTCTGGTGTACACCACTCTGTAAGTGGATCCTCGATTCATCGAGACGATATTATCGGAACAAAAGAAGAAACGCACGCACTCCTTTGTTTACCAACTGTATTGATAATGTGAACAATTAACACTAGAACTACCGATGATAAACGCGTATTTGCTTCGATCGCTGGATAAACGTGGAAAACTTTTGGAAATTTAGAAATTTAGAAATTTAGAAATTTAGAAATTGACTAATTTCTTCACTCTCATATCGTAATAAAAGGTGCAAAAGATCTGAGAAAATGTATTGTCATACCATTTTAATCGTCGTTGTAAGAATTGTATTGACCAGTTATTTTGACTGGTTTTGAAGTTAAACTAAATTTTACTTGGTTTTAAAGAAAAATGCAAATTTTCAACTTTGAACATTTCCTGTGTTCAAACATTAATAGTTATTCAGTTGATAATATAACTAATAATAACTAATACTAACAAGACCGATCCCTTCTTAATTTAATATTATTCAATTAAGAATTTAATGTGCAGTGTTTCCCTTTATATACATAATAATAATAGTACAATATTTATTTTAAATAGAACTATACATTCGAATAAATAATTAAAAAAGCTCACTTTACCCCAAGGTGTCAGTCTCATATCCGTATGTTTCAGCCAACAAAGCAAGCGATACATCAAGGTATTATGGCCCCAGAACACGGCCATATTGGATTCAGACTACACTTACCGCAGCGAGAAGCTGGACTCCGACCTTGACGGACTTCTGCACGTTGAAGTGCCACTGCAGACCCGTCACGTTGGTCACTTGACCTACGGTTACCAGAAACGGCCACAGGTGACCACAGGTTACTCAGAGATGACCTACAACGGGCAGAAGGTCCTGCACGGTCGTTACAACTCGAAGAGCGAGTCCAGAGCCGGTTTCGAGAAGGATCGTATTCAGATAGCGATCGAGAACTCCCTGAAACCGTTGGGTATCGTCTACATAAACCAGTACGAGTACAGCGCCGGTAACGAGGGAACGAACTACCCAACCGTCGAGTACAAGCACGTGAACGTCTATCAATTGAACAACAAAACCGCGTTCAACGTCGCCGGCGAATCCCGTGTCAGAACCACCCATACCGGCCAGGACGTTCATCTGAAGGCTATACACTCGAACAGAACCGTAGAACTGAAGACTGACTACCAGATTCTACCGGGTGAATTCGATCAGAACAGTTCTTTGAGCCTGGCCAAGGACGTATGGATCTCTTATCGAATAAACATTTTGAACAAAACCACAGAGGAGGTGGACAATCAGTTCTTGGTCCTAAGCGTGTCCTACCCTAGAAGGAACTTCACGCTGGACGGTTCCTATTGGATCAGCAGCAACGAGCTCAGCTCCGAGATAAAGCTCGACTGGGATCGCGAAACCGATCAACCGAGAACCGTCGGTGCTCTTTTCAACTGGGTGAACGTCACCTCCGATGAGGTCCTCGGACGACAACGGGCCACCTTTAGCCTAAGACACCCGAGCTTCCGGAAACCAGTCTCCCTGCAAGGTGAACTGGCCAAGAGAGACTCGAGGGACCTGGTGAACGTAGCGATCACCGCCGATTACTCCGTCGATCCTGAGAAACTGTTCACTCTGTCTGCGTTGTTGAGGGATGAAAGTGAGCTACCGAGCACTAGAAAGTATGCCTATAAGGTAACTGGAAGCCACACCAGCACCAAATTGGAGCTCGACCTTCAAGGATTCGTGCGCAAGCAGGGGGTCACTCTGTTTGATGCAGTTAATAATGGCAGCTATAAAAGAAGCTATTCGACTGGGGAAACTGGGAAGCTAGAGGCCCGTTTGGATCTTGTTCAAAAGGAGGTGCTTTTCCAACGGGAGTACAACGAGGCAGTGAAGTATTTGAATGTTCGATATTATCCATCCGAGAAGACGTATGCTATGAATGGTAGTGTCGTTAACACTCCAGAGTTAAATGCCACTGGAGCCTTCCTCTTTGATCCGGGCGAGAAGCTGACGTGGATGATGCTGAATTACACACCCGGTATGTTATACTACTTAGGTCTTACTGGTGAGGCTTGAGGGTATAAGCTGTGTCCTTTTGAAATTATTTTCCTAACATTTCGCAAGCACTGTAGGAAATTAATGGATGGATAAGCAAATATAAATCATTCCACGCGAAATCGGACACTTTTTAAAGCACCATTTCGGATTTTGTTCAAATTTGGATATGTTGTAGTCTTTAGCGATATACAAGCGTATTTCGAAGGAGTTTTGAAAGTTTAAAAAATTGTTAATTTTACAGACGTTTAAAATTTAAGGTCAGCCTTCTTTCAATAAATCATAACTGTTGAACTGACAAACTGATCGAAATGAGCTTTGTGGGTATTTAAAGTGGAGATGTAACAGTACCAAATAAAAAGTATTTCAGTTAGAAGAAAATATTTTTTAACCATTTATTTAGATTAGATTGAATATTTTTTAACCATTTATTTAGATTAGATTAAATATTTTTTAACCATTTATACAGATGCCGTAGAGAGCTTGCGGATGTACGGAAAAATTCCCGACGCCAGGTACGCTGTGTTCAACATCTGGAGGACCTACGAGGAGGACTTCTCCATATCAGACGTGTCTTTCTATTTGAAACTGAACCACTCTAGGCTTGTCACATCCACTCTTCGCTGGAGACCCGAGCTAAAAAGCGATATTATTGTGAGACTCGGTTTTTCAATTTACAAACCAGGTTCAGACACTTGATTTCCTTGAATAAGTCTAGTTTGAAACAAGGTGTTTTTCGTTTTTCTAGAACGGTATTAAAAAAACGGCGACAGATATGTATAACAGTGTGAACAACGACGCTGACTATTGGAAACAGTACGTGAAGAGCGAGACCGTGAGCGTGATCTCTGATGTTTGGGACGATGCTCAGGAGGATCTTCAAGTATTCCTCGACGACTGGAAGTAAGTACGGTCAACGTCCCTATTTCTAATCAATGAACTGCGGATTTTTATGGAAAATAAAATTTTATGAAGCAATTCTTGAAGACAAGAACAAAAATAGGAATTTCTGTCTTCTGTTAGGTATGTTGTTGAGTTAAGAATAAAATAGAAAAATTGTTGCATTCGATGAAAGTTTTGTCTGTTATTGTATTTCACAGAGCTTTAGTTCAATAGAATATTTTCTAAATTCTATAAAATCAAACAAATATCCTTAAAAAAGAAATGGTGTTATTTAAGATGAATATTTTAATCTACATATAATTACAAAATTAACGTATAGTGTTCCAATCAATATGGCTAAATATCACAGAGTAGTGTTCCAGAGATTACATATAAAATTAATTTGATTGAATTCTGTTTGTTTAAAATTGTAGGAATCATTAAAAAAGTTTTTATTGTTATTCTTATTAACTTTTACATATAATAAATGGTTTGCGGCCGCCTAGGTGCGGGGCCACCTTTTGCATCCCCGCCAGAAACGGCCCTGGCCCCGCCCATGGCAATATAGTTAGAGTACACTGTAGTTTAGTTCAAGAAATTACCGTTACCGTTAACGTTCCGCCTTATTCTTAGCAACCTGAAGGAACTGCAGACGGACCTGGAAGAGCTAAAGGTCTATTTGAACAATTCCTACAACGCCAACGACTTCTACATCAAGGACGCGGTCACTGTCGCGGTGTACGTGATCGACGAGCTCTCTCTGCGCAGCCACATACAATCTCTGCCGAATATTCTCAACGAAATATGGGCGATAATGGGTGAATCGGGCGAGGCGATCCGGAACTCGTTGCTTTGGGCGATCAAGACTGTCAAGCACGCGTTCAACAACTTCTTCGACGTCGTCGCGGCCATTTTAAGGGGCGATCCGATCACCGAGGTGGCGAACATTATATACAAACTGGTCGAGAAATACGACAAGTTCGTGAAGGATCTTCACGTGTCCTTCATCAAATACATGGAGAACCTTTGGGGCAAGATCTCCCAGTCGATATCGCAACAGTGGAATCGATTCTTGTTGCTGGTCGAGCCTCTGTTCATTCGTTGCATACATTATTTGGAAACAGTTGCCTGGAAGGCGAGCAAGGAGGTTCTAGATTTTCTGTACGATCGTAGAAACGATCTTATCGCGTCGCCATATTTCGATAAGCTCACGAACTTGACCCAGGACATCGACAAGATCTATCGGGACATCAAGGCGAACGACATCGTCACGAACGTACAGAAATATTCCGGTCTGGTGATGCAGTTCCTCAAGGAACGGTACTTCACCTTCGTGCCGTTCGGCAAAGAGCTGAAGGACGTCGTCGAAGAGATCGTCACCGAGCTGAAGGAGCTGCAGAAGTTACCGTCCATTCACTACGCCATAGAGAAGATGCAACAGGTGTACGAGAAGGCGTACTACTTTTACGACTACCTCGAGATACGAGCCAAATTGGAAAGCGCTATTCGGCTGATCCACTCGAAGCTGATGGACATCAGTCAAACGGCGCTGCAGGCCGAGAGTCGCTACAGAGAAGCTAAGACGAAATTTATCTTCGATCCACATATAGGATTAATGTGTCTCGAGCAAAAGCTTCCGATGTCCTGGCACGCTTTCAATCAGACTCCAGAGTTCAACGAGATTCCAGAGTTCCGGGCCATCACCGACATGAGATCCTACTTTGTCTCCTCGAACGTGACTTTCTGGAGCCTCTACCGATACAAGCCGTTCATCGAACCCCTTAACTGGCTACCGCCGTTCAGAGCGCAGGCGATGATCATCGGATCGCGACACTTCACCACATTCGACGGCCGCCACCTGGACTTCGTCGGCCCCTGCACGTACCTTCTAGCCCGTGATTTCGTCCGGAACACGTTCACCATTCTCATAAAGTACGATCTTAAACCGGACCGAGTCACGCACAAGATCATCATTCTGATCGGAAAGGACGCCGTCGAGCTGGATATATTCGACAACAGCATCAAGATCGTCTCCGAGCATTCGCCAGCCAGCCTGACCAACCTGGAGCTTCCCATCGAATTGGAGAACGGAACCACGTACATCTATCAAGCGGAAAACGTGATTACCGTGGAGCGTAGGCCAAATCAATTACGATTAGAATGTAATTTGAAGTTCAACCTGTGCACTCTGGAGTTGTCCGGATGGTATCACGGAAAAACCGCTGGTTTGCTAGGTACTATGAACAACGAGCCAATGGACGACACCACCAGCTCGAACGGCCTTGCCACCGCTGATGTAGGAACCTTTGCTGGAAGTTGGACGATCGACACGGACGAAGAGTGCTCGAGTAGGTCGAATCTGACTTCGACAACGAGACAAGATGACGATGAACTTGTCACAGAGTTCTGCAACGATCTATTCGTCAACCGAAGTTCCGAATTCGCTTCCTGTTTCGACGTCCTGGGTCCTGATGATTATTTCAGAATGTGCAACGGCAGCTCGAGCAAACCGGAAGCCTGCACGATGGCGTTGAGCTACATACAAGTCTGCATGTTCCGTGATACGTATTTAAGAATACCAGACGCGTGCACCAGCTGCACTGTGATAAACGGTAGCCAAGTGGCGGAGGGTCAGTTCAAGCGACTGGAAGGCGAGAACGTGCCGATGTCGACCGATGTGGTTTTCATCGTCGAAGGGAAAGACTGTAATCGCGACATCAAGCAGAATCGCAGTATGGATCAGTTGGTCACTCAGCTGAGCAAAGAACTGAAGGATCAAGGTCTGGTCGACAATCGATGGTCCCTGGTCGTCTTCGGGGCGGACCGTGTATTCGATCAACCGAGGAGCGTCGTTTTCGATGGGCAGATCTTCACCAAGAACACGGCGCGATTTATCGATTACTTCGACCACGTGCCAGTCGGCGACGGGAATCGCGACATCTTCGCCGCGATCGTGTTCGCCACGAAACTCGTCTTCAGGGCTGGTGTATCGAAGACGTTCATCCTGATGCCTTGCTCGCACTGCGAGCCGGAAAATCAAACGGTAACGGTTCCCTCTTCTTGTTCCTCTGAAAGGCTATAGCCGAATAAGGGGGTCAAATGTGCCCCTAAACCAACCATGAGCCATTGCAAGTTGAATTTGATTTAGGGTCACGTTTGACCCCACCTTATTCGGCTGTACCCTTTGTAATCCCTTTTAGGCAGGTTTACTGACAATACGAAATTCTAGCTGGACTACACTGTGCTCCACGAAGCCTTGCTCGAACACGACGTCACCCTTCATATATTAATGGACGGTGACTTCGAGTTCGAGAAGGAGAGGCTGAACAAGATATTCTACGGATTGGACGCGACCAAGTCGTACACGAAGAAAGACTCGAGATCGTTGATAGGTGATGTCGATCTGAGGCGACAGGTGAAGTTGTCGAAGAGCGCGCTGGGCTACTGTACCCCGTTGTCGCTGGAGATCAACGGGACCATATTCAGCGGCGATAAATTACGATTCGACAAGCTGACCTCGATCAAGAAGTTCGTCAGCGTGTTCGCAAAGAGGGTGGCTCTGACCGCGATGCCGAATCCCTGTCAGGTCTGCGAGTGCACCGCGGACAACAACGGAGTCACGCGAATGGAGTGCATACCCTGCGTTTATCCAATCCCAGTCTCGGTGGACTACGTGAGTATTTATGTCTAATATACAGGGTGTAATGAAAATGTTGGAGGAACGGAAATGGGAGACTCGTGGGGTGATTTGGAACAAGTTTTTCATTAGCGAAAATATTGTCCGAAACTTTGTTAACGAGATATTAATGAAAAACCCCGACCAATCAGAGCGCGAGTCTGCCAGTCGAGTTCCCGCGGTAATGTTCGTTACCAATCGCAGCGCGGAGCGATTTGTCATAATAAAATGTTCGACGATAATGTAAACAGAAGACTGTTTGAAAATGATGGCGATCTCCACTTTGCCAATACAGAAGATGTAAAAAATATCTACAAAATTTCTGTAAAGGCCATTTGAAGTTTGCATGAAAAATGCAGGAAATTGTATTAATTTATCGTTTTTTTTTGTTTGGCAGGATGCGTTTAACCTAAACGATTCACTGATAGCCCTACAGCCGCTGAACATCGATTACGGGCAAATCGATATCGATGATAACTGAAGTACCGCGGGAGGTACGAATAGATTATTAATCACCGTCAACACATGATTTTGTTTATTTAACGTGTTATACTGTAAAATGTTTAACCGAAGCACTTACCTTTTGATAATAAGTATTTAAGACGCATCGTTACGCAGTGTAGCGTTGTGTGTAACGCAAAAAAAAATATCGTGTATGTGCCATACGTTTTAAGTTTTATGTAGTTAATTTTACATATTTGTAAAATAGTATTCTGTGTACGATTACTTGAAAATAATTCGAAAGGAATATTATGTATACAGATAGATAAGATAGAACCAGTCTCTTTTTATTAGTTAACGACGCTACGCACCTTCTTGTTATTCGCCTGGTACAAATTTTTCATTAAGAAACTCAAGTGCGCGAATAGAAGGAACATATTTCACTGTACGAATTTTACTCCCAAAGAAAGGAACAATATCGAAGCAAATCAGCATAATCCGTCATACATTATTGGTAACTTATATTATCAATCGCAGTTCTCATTTTTTTAATGCAACTTTTGATTGATCCTTTCTGAAATACTAATTATCGACAAGTATACTTTAACGCAGTCCCGTCCAACTTGGCTCTAAGGAGAGGCCCCTCACGCGACTGTTTCCCCTTCCAATCATTCGATCGCACCACGTGTCTTCGAAGACAAAAGAAGCTCAGAGTCCTGTCTCTGTTACTCCACGTAATGGCGGACGGTTCTTGGCTCTATAGAGCCAAATTTGGAAAGCACTGCTTTAATGCATTTACAAATTGATCAAACTATCGGATGTAAACGCAATGCCATTCCTTCGATCTTCATTTAAGATCGTTACTTGGATCCTGTTTGCCATTTGACAAGATGACTATAAAATAACTGAGAATACGAAACATGCAGATATCTTAAAGATACCTGAAAGTTTTACTTTTGTTACATACTATGGCAATGCGTAAGCATGGCAAACATTGCGTCAACATCTCTCTGCCTGACGCGAGATTCTGATTTCTGAACAATAATAATATGTCCTCCTTTTTATGTCTAAAATACAAGTATTGATAAAAACGAACCGATGCTATCGCTGTACTGTAAATATTATACTTATACGAAGCAGAGAATAATAATAAAAATTACGTAGTGTAAATCTGATAGATAAGAGTAAAAAAGATTAGTCGTTGTGGGGAAAGAAAAATTGTCGTTCAAATATATATAGGTATATCGGAAACCACGCGTGTACAGGAAAATTTGTATACTGTCACATAAAAGAACAACCATTTCGCCGCAATTGACTTATAAAACCTTTTTTTTTGCTTATATATTATCCGTGTATAATAATTCGAAACAAACTATACAAATATAATACGAATCGTACATGGCAATCGATTCGCGTTACATTTTTTCGTGTCTCAGCTTGCGCCTACGTTTTTGGCAAGCCGAAAGATGGCGAGAAAAACTATCGTATCGATTATAGTTTCGCTTATTCTAAAATAATATTCGTAATAGTAATAATGATAATTATTATGATCATAATAATAGTAATAATAATGATGATGATGATAATAATAAAATCTATAAAGACCGATACAGTCTTCGTAAAACGTAACGAAAATATAGAACTTTCTTAGACCAAAGGGAGCGATAAAAATTATCGGGTTTAAAACAACCGAAGGCGGCCGGTAACTCATGTAATTGTATGATATACATGATGGCCATAACACAGAACGAACAACTTAGCACAAAATCATTTGTGCCAACGTTATTTGGCCACTATTACGATACCATTATCTAGAGGCATTACAAAATGGTCACCTGGTATCGTGAGCCTGCAGGTGATTCGGAGCGTCAGCAAACGTGAATTTTAGCTTGTATGCTTCCGCGACCAATACACCTATCTCTGAGTCCGTCCAATTCTGGGTGGGCAGGTTTTGTAGCATTAACATCAGTCCCTTGGGAAAAAAGACACAACAGATCGATTCCAGTTTCTTTCTTACCTTTCCTCGTATGTGAACGTTAAAAATATATTATATAAAGCTCACTTGGAAATCGGGTTGTAGAAGCAAATGACGCCTCCAACGAAGTAGAAACGCGGCGCACACGTACAGTTGAAACGAAGCGAATCGGTCGGATTCCGCTAAATAAGTGTCCCACAGACGAATCGTGCAATGAAGAGGAATTTCTCTGGTTAGTAAATTATTCATCCATCGAAACGAGAATTGTAAATAATCTACGCCGTGTTTATGAAGGTGCTGATGCAATGGCGCTGAAAGAAACCAGGAAAATGTGAAACTAACCGAAAGAAAATGTAAAAGCACATTCCCAATGAATACGCGCGTACCATCGATTCTTTGTATAAGTTCTTTCAACTGATTCACTTTGTGCTGAATGCCTAATTGAGCAAAGATATAATTATCTTGAATACCATCGAGAAATTTAGACAAGCACCAGAAGCTATCTGCTTCTATAATATCTCTCTGTTCTTGTTGTAATGACGCGACATCATAATTCTCCAAGTCCTGCCATGCAGATATGGGTACTGCTTCTTGTAGAAATACCAGGAAGAAGGGTGTCACTAGATCATTCATCCCCTAGAAAAATGAAAGGTTGAGTGAAGACTATACATAAAATTAGTTCGAAAATCGTATTGTATATGTAAAATAGGTTTTTTACATACCTGAACGTATCCGGAAGCAGGGTGACGGATTGCCCAAATATAGAGTATCCTTTCAAAGATTAATTGTACCGTTGTTTGTTGGAATAACGAGATAAGGGGCGACATTCTTGGAATGTCAATGTGAATTTGACGATATGTATCTTGAAATCCTTCATCTCTTTCAGTATCATAATACTGTTTTACTAAATTCCAATAATCGAGACGTTTACGTTCTAATACACTTTGTCTTCTTTCTAAATTCGCTGGCAAATACTCCTATTTCAATGAAAGTATACACCAGTTTTACATTAAAAACTGAAATTCGCGTCTATGGCTGAAAAGAATGGTACAGTTTACCTTTCTTACTTACAGACAATAACCTCCAGGTAACTGATCGCAACCTTGCAGGTACACCTGACCAAGACAGTTGTCTTAATTCGTCTAAGTTTAATACAGAAGCTTCCAAAAGAGATTGAAATTTATCTACTTTACTTTCGCCATCTACAATTATTAATAAATCAGAAGTAAGAACATGGTTTAAACAGATTCAACATAAAAAACCACTTTGCATGCACCTTGTTCCTTAGAAGGTATAAAAAATTTGGTGGGAGCATTTGTTTGTCTTAACGGTTGTGGCCTGCCTGGGAGCGTTGGTTTATGATGTGGGGAAGCACCATATTTTATATCCGTATCATCCATGGAATGTTGACTGTTGTTTAGCTGCGTGTTCATAGACAAATTAGCATTTCGCAAATGTAAAGGTTGAACTGCTAATCTTTGGAGAGCTTCTGCCTTCTTCTCTTCAGGTATAATTTCTTGAACCCGTTGAGAAGGCTTCGAATTTGTCCCAGAGTCTAAACACGATTTTCTTGAACGATGGCTGTTAATAACACTGAGTGCAGCAGAATGACTGACTCGTTTGGATATTTTTACATCAGAAACAGTGCAAAATTCATCGTCTCCCGAATCCCAGGCATCATCTATACTTTCTTGAAAGTCTTGAAAAGATGTGGAACCTCCACTGCTGCCCGATATACCTCCACTGGTAGACACTGCAGTGGTTGAACTACCAGACAGGAGTGTTGTAGCACCCATTCTACTGTGCTTACCATCTTGCTTTGGACTTGGTCTTTTAATACGCATTTAACATAGATGTAATTACATAGTCGTTCAAAATAATTCTTACAATATTACATCGTATAATGTACATACCTGCCTGGTACAGCATGAGTATTTTTTTTCCAAAAGGATTGATAAGTCTGATAGGCTTGACCATGATGACTTTGATTTTCCATAATTCTCTGAAATTATGTTAACTGGCTCCTGCCACTTTTCCAAGATAATTGAAGAAGCGATACAAGTTCCTCATTCCCTTGTCAACACTTCTGCAATAAGAATCAATGGTATTGATATTAAAGGTATATGTAAACAATCTTCTACCTAATGTTGTTCTATAGTTAAGGTACATAGAATTATTAGAATTAGAAAACCGACTGGATTCAGGGACATTACTAAAATTATATAACTATGCCATTTTTCTGACTCATGTTGCTTTGCATTAGGTAAAGACAAACTTACAATATCAATTGTCTTTGCAGTCATCATTGGTGAAATACCCAGTAATTCCAAATATTTATATAAGAATACATGTATGTAACGACCTTTCTCAATGGAAATTAAACACAGGCTGTCAACACCGCGTTAGAAGGCATTTAAAAATAACAGAAAGAAAGATAATACTGTAAACGCATAGCACCTTGGTACCGCTTATTATACGCAGGTTATGTTACTCTTTATAAGTACCTGGATCACAATAAACAGACAGGTAAGAAGGAAATAGTATTTTCACATTTAGAAATGTTTACGCAATTGTGCAATTACGTCAACACTGAAAAAGAGAAAATGGTTGTCTAGTGACGTATACGATCTAGACACGGTTATTTATTAAATTTACCGAATTCAAAAGTAATACGCAACGGCTAAACTTCTCTGGTAAACGCTCACTGTTTTTGACGTATGACAAGCTATTTACTAGTGCTGCCACCGAATAAATGGCTAAATTAAATTTACATTATTAACGTGTCTACCTACGTTTTACATTAAAAAAATGTACGTTATTGGTGTTTGTAAATACTTGCAGCTTACAAAATACGATAGTTGTACAAGTAATGAGTTTTTCGTAATGGAATAATGGTAAATAGGTATAATAAGTTTTTACGAACGCAAGAATGATTGAAGAAATGTCTTATTAAAGTACAATCGAAGATGTATTTACAATGCACAGTATTACAATTGTTACTGTTAAATGTAAATTCTTTGAATATAAAAAAAATTGGGTAACAGAAATGAAGTTGTACAGTGGGGAAAGGACCTAGTTTTGCTGGCATTCAGTGATTCTCAATTTTAGAAATTTTTTACTCATAATGTACCACATTCTATTGAAATTGTGATAAAAAATAAACTGTTTGTATCTTTTTAGAACGGAGTAATAGTGAAAAGAAACTTATCAAATAATCAAAACTACAAAGACACAAATCGTCGCAAATAATAGATTCAATGTTTTTTCTTGATATCATTCATTAAACTTAATGTAATGCGTTGTTTTTTGCCGCAAACTCTTCAGGTACTTTTTTATACATCAAATCTATAAATTATAGTAAACACTTTTGATACAAGAAAGAAGACTGCTATAAAAAAGATCAGGAGATGAACATAATGTGTCTGATCATTATTGCACCGCTGCATTCGTGAAACGAAGCATCGACACGTCACGATTGTTACGAATTGTGTGTGTGTGTATGTACCGAGTTATATTATCGTATGTATGCTTCGGTTTAAAGATACTTTTACCCCGATTATTAATGTAGGATAGAGGAATATAAATACAACACAGTCGTAACAAAGTGCCCCTACCATGCAATTCCACAGGTTCAGAATCTATAACAGAAATATGAAGTTACACGTGACCAGCAGTGATACTCATTGCTTATTAAGATTCAATTCGCAAGAGTGTTGTGTTCAATCATTTTCATTTATCAAGAAAAATGTCAAACATAGATGCTTCTACCAGTTTATGTTTGAATTGAAACACGAATTAAATTATTGCACCAATTGTTATGGTGGGTAAAGACAACATAGTCCGGTAAAGTAGCCCTCTGATAAGCGGTTCCTTTTCGTACACAGAACACAGGGCCGTACATATTACTCCATTTTACCGTCTCAAGAACACAATATGTACTAATATAACTAATAGATGAAGGCAATTTATTTTCACACAAAAACTATAAACTTCAATTAGCATTTGCACTGTTGGGCTTTCTTTTTCCATTTAAATAATCATTTACATATTGAGAACATTGAACTATACCCCATATTTCCGTCATCTTGACAATAAGAAACAGACACCTGTTTTAGTGTTGTGTAAATGATTTCCTTTCTAAATTCGTTTTCTTTCATACCAATTGTACAAATTTATGAAATGCTGAAGACGATCCTGGGTCTAAGAACTATAGCTGACTCGGCCGCGCAAAAGAAGTTACTGTTTATGGCTTCGTTAGGTTTCGTACCTTACTATTTAAAGAATCAGTAGATGATAGGCTACAGACTGAAGCATATTTCCATAAAGGTTAGATCGACGCTATGTATTTCATTTTTGAATGGTTTATGAGCAGATCATTCAGGAGTCAATAAGGCCTTGTCATGAACATCATGAACCATTATATGTGCTCCTCTAGGAGTAATCGGTTACTATTTAGGTCCCTTGGAACAGCTGATTACGGTTCAATCCCTTGGATGATATATATAACTTCATCATTCCATTTGAGCTCTACTAGGTACTCTTAGAATATTTCAATTCATTTCTGGAACATCCTGTGCACCTTCCATCATAAGCACATGTTAAGTTGAGTGTCACTGTTTTGCGTGAAGATGATGTCACGTGTACAGTAGTTTTTTGTATGTGATCTGACATCGTCGGGTCCACTGTCAGTCGATCGCGTGTGTTGCACGCCGTTATGTTTGTAGCGGCGTTTTCGAAGAATTCTTACTAGTTTTCAACGTGAAAATCTAAGAATACATCAAATTTATCGCGTTCTGTTGTGTATGCGTATTAGAATCAGATCGTATGATTGTGGAAATGTCTACCGATAAACGTAGCCTCTCTATTTTACCCGTGAATCGATTCGTCTAACATTTGACGTTCAACGGATTAATGGTAAGAGCTTTATTAAAGACGCGCAATGTTTTGCTTTGTTTTAATAGAAAACATTGCCATCTGTATTTTCTATCAGTTTATAAACATCTTCTATCGAATTAATCAGCAGTTTAATTCAACGAAATTGTTGGTCTAGATTTATGGGATCTAGGTCTGTCATACCGCCACGTTAACTGAATTATATTTTCTTCGTAACACTCTACTTCAGATAGCTTCCGGGTTCTGTTTACGAGACACTCGCTTTTTTCATTTTCCAAGATTACAGCAATGCAGGTGTAAATTTCGCTTTTTGCTTCATATTTTTATTTCTTTTTATATTTAACCATGTATATTTTAATAATAATTATAAGGACAACAGTTTTGTTTGTTTATTAAATGTGCCAAATTTCTGCAGTGTTAAAACACGTTTTGCAAGTACTAGAATTGTATATTCTACAGATAACAAATAAATATCTTAAAGTGTTTGTCTATAGAAGTGCAGGAGGTCATTTAATGTTTTTTTTTGACATTTAAAGTTTAATTTTTTTAAAGTTTAGTTTTTTTTTGTCATTTAATGTTTTTAATGACACTCTGTGTATTATCAAACATTTTTTGTATTTGCAATATATTATTAGTTTATCATGAAAAATAGGATTACTTTACAAAGTATAAGTGTATTAAAAATAATTATTTATGAAAAGTGTATGTATAAATTATATAGTGCATCAGAGTTATGTTTTTTTTGTAAATAATTTTTATTTATTATCAGTAGAAATATACTTGAGTTTATCATATCTATTTTATCATTACTTAGCAATCTTTGAATACAAACAACATAGTAATTACTGATTACATTTTCAATTAAATACAGTAAATATACGAACGTTGACTAATGACAAGTAAGAGAAATAAAATATAAAATTTATGTATTTACTATGAAATGTGATATTACTGTGAAACTAGAGAAATAATGACCTAAAACTGAAGGAGCACACTTGAGAAATCTGTGTTGAAGAGAAAACTTTCACCTATGATAATTAACATTTGTTGTAGATAAAGGGATCACCTTACAAAACGTGTGAAGCAAATAAATGATTTTTGTTAAGTGTGATATTATTTTATTTTTGTATATTTATGTTGCACATAGACAAAATGTGAATGTACAGAAGAATAATATACAATATTATTTTTTTCAAGCATATTTTGAACATTCATCCAACATGTCAGACATTGAAGAAGACGAGGTATTTACAGAAATATATAAAGAATGCATTTATTATTAATATTTTACTAGTTTGTGTCTTTACTAAATTAAGATTTTATCCATATTCTAGTTTCAAGATGCCCTGGAGTCCATACCAGAGTAAGTACAGTCAATGCATGTACATATAAGTAAAGATGCACGTATATGTATTTTCATATTAAATAACCCTGATTTTGTATATAGACCTACTTCTATGGACTTGGATACAGCAATAATGGAAGCCAAGAAAGCAATGCATTATTTTTTTAATAATGATTTCGACAAAGCAAGAAAAATTATGGAACCATGGGCAACCAGCAGCATGTACCATTCGTTAGGGACAAGCGTTTTTGCATTCCTCGAGGCGATTCTTACATTTGAACAAGTATTACACCATAATAAATTGCTCTATATGGAATGTGTTTTTCTTTTTGAGATAATACAATTATATTTTTATTGCTTAGAAACACGTTGAAAAGGCAGCTGCAGCCGTGAAGCAGTGCATGAGCGTATGTTTAAAGCAACGCAAACATGTAACACTAACGCAAAATATTGGCAAAATGGTCAAGAAGACTAATTATGATGCTTATACAGTTGGTACGTATATGTGCATAGATGTATTAACATCATACAATGTGTGTAATGAAGCCCTATATTGCTTTATGCATAAGATGCATGACCAATTCATTCAAGTATCTTGAGAAGCATGAGACATTCCAATGCTAACCAGTTTCCAGTTTATGTAAGATGTAATTTCTTGTATGCGACTCGTTCAAATTTCATGTTTCTACAATATCAGAAGCTTATAACAAAATTATCTCCATGTTCTAACAATGTATATGTCGATGGTATTAGTAAAGCCAAAGCATGAAGGAATGACAGAGAATTAATATTACAGAGGAAGTGCATGCGGAACTCTGTTATGCCGAGTCACTACTTTTAAAATCGATGCTCACGTTTGTGGAGGACGAAACTCTGGTCAGCTTTGTCAAGGCTGGATTGAAAATTCGTACCTGCTTTCTGTCGTATAAGTAAAGAAAACACATCGCGAGTTATCCAGTTCGAATCTTTTACCGGGTAATTATATACATTTACCGTGCGTATGATTTTTTTCAGGGAATGTTTAACAATTTTGAATAATCGTAAATGGGGAAATGATGTTCACAAGATTCATTTTGAAAGCGGCGTTCGCACAGGAATTGGAGCATTTAATTTGGTGCGTACTGTTACTTGTGTTGTATAATCTTATAACTAATGATGTGGCTCTTCTTTAGATGATCTCATTATTACCAGCAAGAATTATTAAATTATTAGAATATATTGGATTCTCTGGCGATAAGGTAATAATAATGAAACAGTATTTTCAGTAGAAATACATCTATGTTCCAGTGTTTATGCTGTAACAATGTGATATCTCGTTTGTCAACAGGAGTATGGTTTATCGGAGCTAGAAGCAGGGTATAAAGAAAGAAGAGGATTACGGCACGTTTTGTGTGCAATGATTCTTTTATCTTACAACTTGATAGTATCTTTTGTACTAAGTCACAAGGATGGTGACCTAGAGTGGTGTGAAAAAGTATTGGAGGATGAGTTAACTCACTATCCAAATAGTGTATGGTTTTTATTTTTCAAGGGGAGATTAGAAATGACAAGAGGAAATTTTGAAACTTCAATAAAATGGTATACAAAGTCTTGGAAAAGCCAAGACTTATGGCCTCAGTTTCATCATCTTTGTTTTTGGGAATTAATGTGGGCACATTGTTGTCTTCAACAATGGAATCAAGCCGCTACGTTCGCTTGCAATTTAATCGAGGAATCGAACTGGTCGCGTACCATTTATTTATATCAGAAAGCTGCGATACTCCTCATGCAGAAACCATCGTCAAAAAGTGAAGAAAAACAACTAATAGACACGTTAATGATGCAGGCGCCAACCTTTAAGCAACGCATTGCTGGCAAGTCATTGCCACTGGAAAAATTTATTATTAAAAAAACGGAACGATATTTTGCTCAGAAAAAGAATTTAGTCCTTCCTGTATTTGAACTTATGTTCGTATGGAATTTGTTCCGGATTATCGGCAAACGACAAGATTTAATGTTAAATATATTTAAACTAATCGAAGAAGCTGAAAGGGATCTTCAGAAAGCCCCGTGAGTTTCTTCGATTCATTTAGCGGTCGGTGAAAATGATTATGCAATCAGACCACAGCGTTAACAAAATCGAAACTTTTTATAGGAAAACTGAATTTCATGGGGACAACGAAGCGCTTCTGTTGCTCTTAAAGGGCGCTTGTTTACGACAACTAAAACGTCCTTTACTGTCCGAGAATTGTCTAACTCGTGTTATCAGCTTGGATAAATCAATTAAAGAAGATACTTATATACTTCCGTACGCAACAGTAGAATTAGCTTTATTAGCACAAGATCAAGGAAACATTCAACTTGCTATTGGGTTTTTAGAAGATGCTAAGTTAGTGACTTTTATCTTATTTCTATCAGATATTTATTGTATAACTTGATGGAGAATTAACTGAGATTACCTTATATGATTACAGAAAGAATTTCACTGGGTATCCACTTGAATCCAGATTACATTTTAGGATTCACTCAGACTTAATGAACTTATCTGGAAAAAAGAGTGAAGATGTTGTAGTATAAGATATTTAAAAATTTTCTGAAAAAAATTTATTACTGCCAATAGAATCACTATTGCAGGTTCAAGCACTGATCATTTTGTTAAGTATTCGTTTTTCTGAAAGATATTGTTATATAGTATTTAATTCTTTCATCTTGGGGTGGTTAATTTAATTGATACTTATTTGTTTCCAGATAATGGTATATTGTAAACTTTTTGTTAATTTTACATGTAAATTATTATTCCTAGTGACCAAGGTTTTTTTTTGTTAACTGTTGTCTATATACCTAGTGAATACATCACAAATAGTTCGAGAGGTCTAAAAAGTTTAAGGGATTAAATTATTTTTTTAATTTAAATTATTTTTAATATACTAATAATAGTAAACGTTTATAGACATCAGTCTGTGTTAGCAAAAATCTAATATAAGTGTCGTTTGTGTGTACACATTTGTACACTTGTCGACACCCATGTTGTATTTACACTGTTTAATAAATTATAAATCAAATGAAAAGTAAGAAAAGAACATAAAGGAATACATAGATTGTTTATTAATAACTGAACGGGTTGAAGTCATTTTATGTGATAAAAAATTTGTCGAATACTATTGTTAGTAATTTTAATAAATAAAATAAAATTAAACCAACACAACATTCTGTTAGTAAAGTAAAATTGCAACCTAATAAACGCATTACTTGAAAACACTGTAAGAATAAAAAAATTTTTTGTAGATCTAATCTCTTTTACATCAAGAATCAAGCGAATAATCACTTTTTCGAATTATTAACAAAGTTCCAAGTCGATAAACATCTCCTCGAAAATGTAATAATGTGGCAAATCGAGAACTATATAAGTCTGTACAAAAACTTTTACACACGTGTAAAGCCAATAATTATTTTTTGCGTATTTCTATGGCGTAATGACGTATACAGTGTTTTGAAAAATGCAGAAAAACCGCAAACCCATCAGAACAAGATATAGACATACTAATTACATACTTACTTGGTATTGTAAATTGTAAATGAATCAGAAGTTACTAGATCTTTATAGTTACAGAAAATATTTGCGTAATTTTCTTAAAAAGGCAAGTAGGTATATATTTTTGAATTTAACAGTAAATTTTATATTACCATGTACATACATTTTGATTACTCTTTTAAACATTATTTATCAACATACTTCTATTTATTTTTCTGTTCGATTAATTTTTTGAAATTATTTTTATGTTTGTAAATAAAAAAACTACAAAATAATCGTTGCAAATACTTACAAAAAATTTGAAACGTAAGTTGCTATTCATGTACATATGTATATATTATACTTGCAATATGTATACTGCTTTCACGAAGCTCGGGCTCGGATCAGTACATTCAAATGTACAGATACATTGCGCGTTCAGCACGTACGGTGTAATGTGAAAATTAAAAATTATCTACGCCGTGTGTAATGATTTTTATATAGAAGCTTAAATTCAAATAGAACTGTACAAATTGAAGTATTTAACAGTATCGAATAGAACGATTTCAGGTTTCGTACACGTTGCGTTAACCTTCTTTGTCAGTTGATTAAGCCGGCTTTATCGGATAGCAACGTTTAAAGAATATACTTAATTATATATTTATTTGAGTTTATTTTTAAGTTTATAGTTGACGGAATAGCTACTAGTTATTTACTGTTACGTGATCATTATATTGACATTAATAATTTAAATAGTTCGAATTCGGAGGCAAGTAACGTCTTTCAATATTTGATTTTTTTTTTATCGTTTTTGAACTCCGATTTTGTGGCTTCAGTTGCAGAGGACTTGATTCAGAGAAACAAGGCAGTTGATAATATTAAGTTTTCTCAAATATTGAATAAGTCTTGCAATAGCATAGTAAGCATTTATCGGGGATATGTTCTCAGGTAAATAATTAACTTCCTAATATCAGTATGGATGTACCAATTCTCCAATCGAACGTTTTGTTAGTAATAGATAAAAAGTAAAGTAGTAAATGGTTATTATAATGACTGCAATGGGAGCCGATGTACAAGGACCTCTGAGAGAGGCTTTGTATGAGACATTAACTGGAATTCTGTCCCCTCATCGAGATACTCGTCAGGCAGCAGAACAGAGGATTCAAGCTTTAGAAGTTACAGAAGAATTTGGAATTCATTTGACAGAATTTGTGATAGATCCTAATGGATATTTACCTATCAGGCAGCTAGCTTCTGTATTATTAAAGCAGTATGTGGAAACCCATTGGTGTTCTGTTGCTGAAAAATTTCGACCACCAGAAATAAAGCATGCGACAAAGGAAATAATCAAAAAGCTACTGCCGTTGGGACTTAGAGAATCTATTAGTAAGGTAATTGGATAGAAATATTTTCCATATATAACTTGTGTATTCGGCAGTGATTGTGAGTGATTTTATTAATTTCTTGCAGGTACGTACAGCAGTAGCATATGCAATATCAGCCATTGCCCACTGGGATTGGCCTGAAAATTGGCCAGGATTGTTCGATATACTGGTCAGTTGTTTAAGCGGAGAAAACGAATATGCCGTGCATGGAGCAATGAGAGTCTTAACAGAATTCACCTCTGACCTTACTGATACTCAGTTGCCTAACGTGGGACCAGTTATTCTGCAAGAAATGTATAGAATATTTCAATGTGAAAATGTAAGTTTCCTTTATTCCTAGGTTTTGTCGTTATAATAATACTGATTTATTTCTCAGCAATATTCCATTAGAATCCGCGGGCGCGCGGTTGAAATATTCACCACGATCACGTCATTAGTAGCTGCAACAGAACCTTATCAGAAAGGATTCACAGAGCAATATCTGCAACCAGTTATTCCTATGTTCTGCGAAAAATTTGTCCAATGTCTACAAGTGCCTGATGGCCCAACTATTGATAGTGGGCTTAAAACTGACGTTATTAAAGCTATAAATTGCCTTGTTACTAAATTACCTAAACACGTGTCAAGTTTTCTGCCACAAATGTTGCCTCCCATGTGGGAAACTTTAACGCAAAGCGCAAAAATTTATCAAGAGGGAACAGTAAACGGAGAGAGAGAAGCAAACGACAAAGAAGTAGATTCCGATGGTAAATTTCGATTAAAGTAATTTTATTTGAATTCGGAATCGTTTAAAATATTTCAGCCTCCTTTCTTTTTACAGGTGAAATAATTAACTTCAATAATCTAATTATCGCGATTTTCGAATTTGTTCATTCTATTGTGGATCGTAAGCGATTCTCAAACCTCCTGGATAACTTGCTGCAAGATGTTATGTACTATTTGATCATTTTTATGCAAATAACCGAAGATCAGATCGAATTATGGTCAACAAGCCCCAATCAGTTCGTAGAAGAAGAGGACGCGTACGCCTATAACGTTCGCATTTCTGCTCAAGAGCTTTTAACAGTAAGTATTGTTAAGAGAATTCCAATTTATTTCTAAATTTTGAATAGTATTATACCTTACTTTTCTATGTAGGCTCTTGTTAATTATTCCGAAGACAAGTCAATAAACGTTCTTTGCGAAGTGGTTACACGGCACATCGAAGCAACAAGTAGACTGCAAACCGCAAATAGTAGTGGCGATAACAACGAGTCTTGGTGGAAATTACGCGAATCTTGCATTTTAGCCTTGAGTAAAATTAAAGATTCTGTGGTGGAGAAGCATACTTCTAGAATGCTTCAGTTCGATATTATTAGATTTTTAGACACGGTTGTTTTAGCTACCCTAAACGATTCAGGTATACACCATACTTCTTTTCTTTATTCTTCGTTAAGTAGTTGTTAATTGTGCATACGGTAACCATCAGGAGCTCCGCCATTACTTCTTGGTCGCTGCTTATGCGTCGGCGGAAAATATGTCGAGATAATGCCGCCAGAGATGAGTTCACGTTTCTTGGAGGCAACAGTAAATGGTTTACAAGAAAGTCAGCCAGCCTGCATTCGTATCAGTGCTGTGAAGGCCATTTACTGGTTTTGCAAAGCGTCAACCACGGAAATCAACAGCACTATCGGCAATATCATACGATCTCATTTGCCAAATATATTTCAAGGACTTTTCAATCTAGCCAATCAGCCCTCTACGGAGGTTCTGATCTTGGTCATGGAGACCTTCCAAGAGTTGATTTCGGTAAAATGTGTTTTATGCATATTGTTGTTTGTTCTTGCAAACGTTACCTGTTTAAATTGAACATTTTCCTGTTACCCCATACAGATGGATAAAGCGTTTACTGCATCGGTAGAAAACAAAATTTGTCCCCTAACTATTGCTGTGTTCTTGAAATTGTATAGCGATCCAGTGATTTTGGATTTGTGTCAAGACATATTCAAGAGTCTGACTCAGAATCCAGACTGCATCGGACCATTGCAGACACGTCTTATACCGACACTGACGAGTATGATGGCTGTAGCCCCGATTGATAAATCGAAAGACGGTAAGTTGTCTTTAAGTCCGTCGTAAATTCATATGTTCATATACAGATTGTTTTTATATTTTTTTCCGTTACATTTAGAGAGATGTGGACACGTAGCCTTAGATGTTCTGCAAGTCTTGGTGCAGTACTCTCCAAGACCGTTGAGCAGTGCGCTGGTCGAAACTGCTTTTCCTGCCTCGTGTCATTGTATTCTTAATTCGGAAGATAACGAAACGTTGCAGAGTGGAGGCGAAGTGATACGCACTTACCTTTCCGTCGCGGCGCGACAAGTCACGGTTCATCGTGATAACGACGGACAAACTGGTTTGCAGTACATATTGCAGATAGTTGCTCAGCTTCTGAATCCACAGGTGGACACTTCGTTTTGGGTCTTTTTAACATGTTCGCTAATAGATACAGTTTATCGTGGAAAGTGTCCGTCATGGACCACGTTATATTTTCTATACAGTGGCCTCTAAGTATATTGCCACGCGAGGCACTTCCACTTCACACGTACTTTCGCGTACACTCCGAGGCTATGACGACAGAACTTAGCATGGAGGGGGCTCTGAACTCATTGCCAATTTACTCTTCTATAGCCCTGACCATGGCAATATAGTTAGGGTCCACTGTGTTAGAAATTACAAGACAGGGAACGTGTTAATATTACCGGCCCATTGCTAAACGATGGCACTAACTTGATCTATTTTGCAGTCAAGCGAGTTCACTGCCACTTTCGTTGGACGGCTGGTGACGACTTTGATCAGAAAGGCGGGTGACACGCTGGGCGAGAACTTGGATCTGTTGTTGAAGGCTGTATTGAGCAAAATGCAACGGGTGGAAACGTTGGTGGTGGTGCAAAGTTTGCTCATGATATACGCCCATCTGATAAACACGGAATTCGACGCCGTCCTAAACTTTTTGTCTACCGTGCCCGGTCCGACCGGACAGAGCGCGCTCGCCTTTGTGCTTACCGAATGGGTCAGCAGGCAGCACCTGTTCTTCGGGAGATACGACCGGAAGGTGGCCACGGTCGCGCTTTGTAAGATTCTCGAGTATGGCGTTACTCACGGCGACAGTCGGTTGAATGAAATCACTGTTAAGGGAGATCAAATATTTTCAGGTTTGTAGACCAAAAGCAATTTCATGTTCGGACATAGCTCCGTTAACGTCTGCGCTTTTCTCAGTGTACGATTCGTACACACATCGGTTGATTTTCGTATTTCGCGAAACCATGGAGCCGATTAATTAAAATTCGAGGTCGTGTGTAGGGCACGAGGAAGGTGTGAGGACTAGAAGCAAAGCGGAATCGCAGCCTTATCAGTGGACCACGATACCTGTATTGGCCAAGATTTTCAAGTTGATAATCAACGAGTTGTCAAACGACCTTGAAGCAGTTGCCGCGAATCAAGATTCCAGCGTTAGTAACAGTCTGATATTTATTTGATAAACATCAGGCTTCGGGGGTAATGATTACTTAATGCCTAGGAATCGGACGACGACGAGGAGGGTGACGGTGACAACGCTTTTTTGGATCCAGGCTACGAAACCATGTTACGTAAGTATAAATTCTACGTTTGTTTCGATGAATCATGACTCGTCGTATATTTATGAGGGCCTGAATGTTCTTGATCAGTGTTAGAGGAAGCCGCGAACGAAGCGGAGGAGGAAGAAGAAGATCCAGAGTTGTTGGAGGACTCGATCTACCACTTAAATCTTGGCCAATATTTGCGTGACTTCTTGCTAAACTTTTCTACGCATCATTGTTTTCCAGCTTTCGTTCAGCACCTGAATATTCCGGAACGAAAGGTGCTGGGCAGTTTGAATATCAATGTATCGTTTATGTAATGCATAAGTAGATATGTCGATGATGAAATTTTTGATTTTCATAATAAAACATACAATTTTTTGTATGTCCTTTTTTTCCCACACGCAAGCTTCTACCGTGATCAGATGTTCCTTCGTCGATTTATTTCTATTTTTACCGGGTCATGATCGCAATTACACCTGCAACTTACCAGTACTATATATTGTTTTTCTTTCCTCGTTGTTGGAGTGATCTATCCCAGCTTCCACTGGAAAAGACAAATCAGGTACATTCGGTCTCTGTCAGACATAATCCCCCGACATTGTATCTCTTTGGATCACAACTGATCGCGAGTGAAACGAGAAGCCGAGATTTCGATCTATTTATACACACATTATATACATATATATCGTTACATTTATTGTACATATCTACAAAGGCGTACTCGTTCTATTCTTCGTCCACAGAAAAAGGATCCAAGTTCGTGTAAAATAATCTACATACATTTATATGTATACATGTTTGTTATATAATAAATATTTACAACCGTTTCGAGCGTGCGCGCGCAATATTGTTCAAACAACGCCGAGCTAAAGTTTTCGTGGCCCAAAAACCTAACGGAATAAGTGATTCCAACGATTCACGACCATTTTGTGGCGTGTCAGCGACAAGTTCACGCGACTGGGGCGACGAACGCAGGTATACCGATCAAACATACAGATTGTATCAAAAATGTTGGAGGACCTGGAAATGGGAGATTCATGAGGTGATTTGGAATAAATTTTTCCTTGGCAAAAATGTTATCCGAGGCTTTGTTAACGAAATATTAACGAAAAACCCCGACCACTGGACGAGGTATAAGAATAGACTTTTCGTCTTATGGGAGTTGGTGGCCCACCTAAACTGTAGTACCGACAGTTTAAAAAGCCTGTGATTTTAGCGACCTCTGCGTTACGAGAACGGTAAATCTGCGGTGGGTAGTAACACTTAAATGGAAGTGGGGTGACAAAATACATTGCATGAAATGTCTACTCCTTACCTCCTCTGTGTCTGGATCAATCAATGCGCGAGTCTGCCGGTCAAGTTCCCGCGAAACCATAGAATCGATTTAAAAATCGTAAAAAATTATACAGGGTGTCCCAAAAAAAGGGGTGATTTGAAACAACTACGCGTAGCCAACACTACCGCAGGAACTCGGCCGGTAGACTAGCGCTCTGATTAGTCGGGGTTTCTCGTTAATATCTCGTTAACAAAGCCTCGGATAACATTTTTGCTAAGGAAAAACATGTTTCAGATTACCTCAGGAGTCTCCTATTTCCGGGTCCTCCAACATTTTTGTTACACCCTGTATAGCTGTAAAGGTTGCAGGCAAAGGATAGGAAATGTGATCGGTTGGTTGCCAAGACGATATTATATCGCGTGATTTGACAACGGCTCGAATAGGAAACAACGAATCGCTCGATACAGAGATCAGACTATGTAACGCAGCTCCGCCTCAGACCGTGGTGACCGAAAGCAGTCCCATCAGCTTCCCTCCAGCGCCTGGCCCACCCGCTCCTCCCACTCTGTTCCCGTGTACCAGCATTTCTTGGACGGTGGTGAAGTCGTCCAAGGTGTTCTTCTTGCGAGCCATCTTCTTGTGGCTGAGTTCCAGAATGTTCAACGGTTTTTTCGTTTTGTCGTCCGGATGCTCGCAGTTCAGTAACTCGTTGGTCTGTTGCAGTTGGAGCTGCTGTTGTTGCTGCTGTTGCAGTATCAGCTCTTGCTGCCTCTGTTTCCGTTCCCGTGCACGTTCCAGCTGCCTTTTCCGTTCCTCCTTAGTCCAGTATCTGCCCACCTGAAACCAGACGATCACGCATTCGTCTCTGAAGACGACAGTATAGGTGTAGAAAGAGGGAAAATAAATGTGAACAATTGCTCCTGTCGTTAGAAATTACTTTAGAAACTTTCATTTTGCATAAAAATCCGCAATCTACGCATAAGATGTTAGGCTATTCTTATATTTCGTCTGTGCTTCTACATAAGATCTATTTCCGCGAATTGGTTTTTAAAGTATCTTTTCTTAGTATAGTATCGAGTTTACTGAATCGATTTTCGTGGGGACAGGCGTTTCAACCAAGCCGTTACCTTTATCTCCGACATAGTGTCGTCCTCCGTGCTGTGGCCAGCGCGTTCCTCGGATATCTTGATCGCTCTGTTCCTCAGGATACGATTCCTGACCGGTCTTCTCGCGATGTACCTGGTCCCGTCCGCTCTTCTCTTAACCTTCCACTCCATCTGCACGTCGTTGCTGCCCTTGTTGTCCTCGGGGGGTACCCAGCTGGTCGACGTGCATACCTGTTGGCTGCCCACGAATTGATAACGCGTCAGATTCGGGGCCTGGAAGTTCCCGTGAGACTTGGACTTCTTCGCGGCGGGCGTGGGGGCGGCGACCGTTTCTTTGGGACTAGCGGGGACGACGGTGGTTAAGTTCCTGCGGCTGAGCGCCTGTTTGAACAGTTGCTGTTGCAGCAGCATCGTTTGCTGAAGATTGGCCATGTTCGTGTACATCGTGTCCGCTGGCAGAGTGGCGCCACTCGGATCAGCAGCACGGTCCTTGTTATGATGGGTGCTGGAGCCTCGTCTGTTCGGCTGACTCTTGGCGGTTGGTGGCTTGTTGGTAGCCGCGGGACAATTGCAGCCGAGTCTCTGTGGTTGAACCGACGTGGGTGTTTTCGGTGGACAGAGGACCAGGGTGCTTCTGTGATGATCTTTCTCGCCCTGATGAAGTTCTAACGTTAAGGGATTGCTGTTGCACGACTCTCCAGTATTGTACGCGCTCGAGCTGTCCTTTTCCTCGCCGGAGCTGTTGCTCTTGGAGGAGGAATGCCATCTGGTTTGATTCCCTTGGTTCTGTTGCGTGGTGGTCGTGGTCGCTGTGGTGGTCGACGTGGTCGCTGTTCCGTGATTCGTTTGCGTCCAATGCTGATGCTCGTACGGGGAGGAGTAGATCGGTTCGCTGTCCGATTCCGGTATGGTCTCATAGATATGCTCCGTTTCGCTCCACACGTGGCTCGAGTACGCTTCGGTCAGCTTGACGGGAGGAGCCGATTGCTGCCCTCGCATGCACAAACCTTCCATTTTCTTCGAGCAATCTTTTAAGGTGTCTTGCATCCATTGCTTACGTTCCTCTGGATGGTAAGCCGGCGAGGATGCGTTCCTACTGGATTTTTGGGAGGTCTGGGACGAACATGTCGAAGATGATGTCGTTGTCGTCGTAGAGAAAACGGTGGCGGACAATTGCTGTGGTTGTTGTTGTTGCTGTTGAGGTGTGTGCGAGGGTATGGGCGGCGGTGCTTTCAGGGTCGAGGTGTTCTCCTCCGTTTCTTTGGTTCGTTCGTCCGTCTGCTGCTGTTGCTGCCGGATCAACTGTTCGATCAAGCTATTCTGGTAGGAGGGTAGGTGTTCCGGGGACAACGGTGGCGAATCCTGAACAGACGGAGAGGGGTCAACGAGAGGAAAGAAATTGCGACGTATCGTCGTCCTAGTTCTTAACTGTTCTATCTCCACTAGCTTTTAAACTGAGAGAACTGAGTTTAAATCTGACGAAGTTTAATATTGTTACGCCGTGGAGTTCCACCACATGACATAATGTTATTTTATTAACCGTAATGTAAAACAGTATTTATTCACTATTGTATAATTGTACAGCATTAACTATTACAAATATATACACGTCTAATATATTACATCTGTTCTCTAACATGTCACATCTCAGACTCTCTTGTTAAATATATCCTTGTTTTCAGTGAAACGACCGCACAATCCACATATCGATCCTCGATGTCGTAGGCACCTTCAGGTGTAACGTGTAGCCAGCTTCGCGGTTTCAAACGTCACAACTCAATATTGCTCGCATACATTCAAGCCGCAGCAACTTCAATCCTGATTTTGTACTCTTTTGGTAGACGTATACATACCTATTTGTAAATAATTAATGTTGTACAATAGTACAATTGTGAATAAATACTGTTTTGCGTTGCGGTTAATAAATTATAAACTATGTCGTTAGGTGGAATTCCACGGCGTAACAATATTATAGAAGCAGGAAAGTAGTGAAATAAGCAAACACACTACAATATCATCTACTGAATATCTATTTATTACAATATTTAACAAAATTTTATCTTACTATCAACGTCAATTTTTAATTGTTGTTAGTATTTGGAGATACAGCCGTTCAGAAAAAAAACTTTTAATGTTTCGGAGTTAGGACTTGAAAGAATATTTGTTGTCTTCTAGGTTAAATTTTCTTTATATTATGGTGAATTTGTATTCCTTGGGCCAGTGAGACGCACGTAGATTTATTAACTTAATTTTGTTGAAAAATGGAGTTAGAACAGTTAGGAACTCGGGCGTCGATGTGTGGTAATCGAGGTTTTCGAGGAAAAAATTACTAACCCTACGGTATATGCGCCTATCGTCGTACTCGTCGTCCTGGAAGAAAAACAGAACAGATAATTCATTTTATCCAGGTTCCGGTGCAAGATAATCTTACGCTTATGTACACCGACGAGCAAATTCGACTTCCACTAGGGAAAAAAGTGGCGTCAGTGAAAGGCCTCCTACTACTTGGTAAATTTATTTCAAGTATTGAAGTAAATGTTAAATCGAAAGTTAATTTGGTAGAAAACTTCCATAATTCCCGATACTAAATTTTAGGAAGCCCTTCTCCAACGCCACTTTTTCCCCTAGCGGAAGTCGACTTTACACGTTGGTTTGCGTACAACGGGTTAGGTGACAAGTGTGCGGAAAACGTTTACCTGATAGAGACATCGGCTAACGAGGATGGTCACCGCATTCTTCGTTTCGGCAAATAGATTCTCGGTTTGCTCTTTGTTCGCCACGTCCTTCCCGTTTACCTGGAAAGAACAAAACATCGATCCTTGATTACCTCAGTGGATTCTTCGATCGAGCAACACAATATCGCTCGAATCGCATTTACTCCCCGTGGTAGCGGTGCGACTTTCGATTATCAACAAATTATCGATTCTTATTGATACTTAACGGTACATCGATAATACCGTTAAAATATCGTTTCGGCGAATAGAAGCAACTGAGACAGAATGCAACGCATTAATTGTAACAAAATCATTTAAAATTATTTTTTTATTTTTTTTAGTATATATAAACGGGCATCGCCTTTTTGTATAATATTTACAAACGTTGCTATGTGACGAGCTTTGTGCACAGAAGTATGAATGTGTGGTCCGCTAGTATACGGCACGGAAAAACAATCATCGGTACGTTGAAGGACGTGTATGTATACAAATAGTGCGGTTATCATAAAAGCCGAGAGGTGATGACACAGTCGACGTGCCCGGGTAACGTACGGCCAATCATATCGTGTTCCGACGTTAGTTAGGATTTGTCTCTCGTGAGGTGAATGAGTGATATACAATGATCTTCATAGTGAAACGGTTGTGGCAGAGAATATGTCGAAATGTGTGTGAAAATTATTGGCAGTACTACATGCTCTGGTGATAGTGTTGATGTGTGAAAATCTGGATGGGCTGAGAGGCTGATAAAATGTGTTGAAGCTTCTGATTGAGCGAGAGGGAACATATAGTTTGATTTGTTCGAGAAGAGCTGGACAGCGTATTTTGCTGGTTATAATATCATGCACAAACATGACCTGGCAACGGTGCGACTACGCGGGGTGCAAATTCCAGGTTAGTCCGTTCTATTTACCTGAAGGATATTGTATCGACATTATCGAAATATCGAAACTTCGATAACATTTCGATATTCGATTACGAAGCGTGCACAAAAAATTACGAATTACTGTGAAAAGTGACTGTGACAGGGAACGAATATGATTAAATCACTCGTGATTCAGAAGGGGCAGTTCACGCCATCACTAATTTCAATATTCTCGACATTTATCGATATATCGGTACACCGATACCATTTCAATATTCTCAACATATAACAATAAATCGAAACCCCGATAACACATCGATATTCTCGACATTTATCGAGAGTCGTACCCCTACCGCATGGACGTTAGCTGTAATATTTCGCAGGGAATATCGCGTTTTTCGCGAAGAGACAAACGTTGCATCCAGATACTAGTCGGCAGAATTCCGACAATTTCACCGGAAGTAGAAATTTCTAGGGGCGTCGCAAACGATATTCCGTCGTGGCGGTCGGGAACCAGGGAAGAAATCCCCGGTGGGTGACGTGGCTCGTTTTTCCATCCGATTTCCCGTAAGTCGACCACTTTGTCCGTAATTACAATCCGCCTAACGAGATTTCCGAAGGGTAGCAGGTCGGAAGGAAATTCCGCGAGCCGGTAGACGACGCGCGACGCGATCGAAAACGGGACCACGACGCCTTTTGGTCCGTCTCTGCACTCTCGTAATCGAATCAGCCAGTTCGATTCGTCGACGACGATTAAGACTGCTACTCCCGAATATTCGTACGCTCTAAAATTTAGAGTCTAAATGATAATCCGGGATGGGGCCAGCGCGAATGGGTCGGGCGACGCGACGGCGAACAGTGGGCTTGGAAACACATCTTTTTGTGGCCGAAATTAATTTAGCGTTATTTTAAGGTTTGAGGTTATAGTATAGTAGGTCGGTGAATTCATATCGACACCAGCTAGAATATTGCGAATTAAAAAATATTATATATTAACATTTACAAAGTTGACGTGACCACAATTTTTTATAAATTTGTTTGGAAATATTTCATATTGAAATTTGTAGAACAGTGAATATTGATGAAATTGCATCACTTTTCCCCCTAGCGGAAGCAGAGTTTGTACGCGAGGGTACATGATTTTTTCTTAGTTTAAATAGTAGCGGAAATAACTTAGGTGCTCGAGTTAAAATTAACACTCTGTATAGACTTCTTTATTTCACGAAAATCTAAAACTGATACTTTCTATCTCAGTGTATCCTAGATCTAAGAGTTTACGCGAGGGGGGCGGGGCGGTAGATTGAGTGGGTGGGGCGGGTTGGAGGGGGGAAGATTAGTGGCGTTTCGGGGCGGTGAGTTTCATTTCGCGTTGTTCCGCCCCCCGGTGTTTCTCATATCTGCCGGGCTGCGTATACACCGGTGGTTCCGGGGCAATAATTCAGCGGGCACTCACCCTCAGGATTTGGTCGCCTTCCCGTAGCCGGCCGTCCCGTGCCGCGAGACTTTCAGGAACTATTTCCGAGATATAAACCTCCGTGTCGGCGTCCTCGCTGCCTGACCCGGAACTGTAGCAGACCGTCAGCCCGAGTTTCTCCGCGCTCCCAACCTTCCGTAACGTCACTTCCTGCAACCCCGTGTCGTTGGTTTTCGCGTGAACGTGTTAGTTCTCTGTCGCGGCACACAGAACAGAAAATCAAGTGATCGTAACGGCGGATACCTCGAAGTCGATGTCGTGCGCGAGGAAATCTTCGAAGCTGTCGTTCGCCTGTTCGTCGGCGGTCAGCGGGACCGGGAGCAGCTCCTCCTCCTCGAGTAGCCCCGCCCAGTCGGTCTGCACCGCGGTGGACACCAGGATCGGCGAATCGGGGATCGTTGTTGGCTCCCGTTTCGTCGGCTCCATCGTTTTCTCCTCGGTGTCGTTACGTTCCTGCGGCTGCTGGTCCCTCCAGGCTCGCTGCAGCTGCGCCGGTTGTCGTCGAAGCACCTCCACGATGATCGGCTCCTGGGCTGATTGAAAGCAACGCACCGCATCTTCGTGACTGGAATTCGATACGTCTTGCCCGTTCACCTGTGAACCAGACGGAATATTGCGTCACGATCGGTTACACGTGTCCATTGGTCTTTTCGCCTAGGGACGGAATTACACAGTAGGTGTGCGATTGGTTTCGAATTAGGTAACGCTCAGTGTGATGTATATCTGGGGAATCATATTTTCTAGGGGTGTTGTCGTGTAAATACAAATGGAGTAGACGTAATAATAAAGAATCATTGCATAGGTAATCGTTTCCAGAAAGCGTCGGAACGTTCGTTGACAAGATAAGATCCTCCCTCCCTTCGCGCTAGATCCCCTGAGGCCATCACTCGCCTTCGGGATCTCGAATGTTAACACAGGATTGCCGAGGGGCGGGGACGAGCGAGCAAGCAGCGGCCCCAGGGGTCGGACAGAGGGGCAAGAGCAAACACTCGCAAGCTTTCGCGAAAATGTCCGCTCGAGTGGTGTAAAAAAAAAAAACCATCCCCCGTAATAACAGTTATTGGGAGAAACCGGGCTGAGTCTGTTCCCGTGCGACGGTAGATATTAATAGACAGGGTCAATTGGCGAGCACGCAAAGAGTAACGTCGAGGAGGCCCTCCCACCCCCCCTGGTCCTCGAGTAACATTTAAATGCGGAGACGGTGCGCCGCCCTGAAGGGTGGGGGGGGGGAGGGGAGGAGTTATTTGACGATTGTAGGACGAATTTCTCTGCGCTCGGTCCATTAACGGAATTACAGATGATATTCATCGCGTCCTTCTTTCCCCCCTCCCCCTACTCCGCCCCTTGCGATCCGAGACGAGGTCCCGTTACGTTATTTACTGTTTTTAAAACATCGACTGTTGTATACCAGAGACCTGATAGTTGCTTGGAGACGATTTCTTTTATTGGTTCACGGTTCTCATAAAGGAAACCCCGTCCGGCGGCTGTCCGACTTCGATTTTAACGGAGTTTTTTAAGATGATGGTATACAGGTTTCTAATGATATAGGGTGGATGCACCAGCGAATGAACATTATACGTAAAAACGAGTAAATTAAGGTTGTTAAAATAAGCAAGTGATTAAATATTGATATTATCAATTCCTTGGTTTTAAAATTCATTTACCGGTTAATATTTATGTATTAACGGGATGAATACCTCTTAGTACAAAATTATGATAACAAGCGAAGTACATAAAAATATTGTTTATTCGCTGGTGAAATCTGTACTGTTTATTTCAATTTAATTAGTTACATTTTTCCAAATTTTTAAAGGTGTAATTACCAAAAAAATCTAATTTTCATGTGCCAAGTATTTAGTAATATTATTATCATTTAAAATATTACTTCAGTAATTACTGTAGTTATGTAAAATATTAGGTGTAGAAACTCGATAATTTTAAAGATACAAACAATTAATGTTACGCACCAATCAAAAACGATAACGAAAAATCACGAACCACTGTGAAAAATCACCGTGATTGAGAACGAATGTAATCGAATCACTCGTGATTCAGAAATAGCAGCTGACGTCATTTCTACTGACGATATTTTCGAGTATCGATACTTAATCCATAATTGCATTGTACACACACTAAAGCTTGCGGTTGGTTGATTTCTTTTCCACTGTATTACCTGAAAATGTGCCTTAGTAAATATCTGTTTAAATAGATGATTTATTTTCATTTTTGATATCGATACCGATACTTTCAATATTTTATTTCCGATGTACATGTGTATCGATACTCTGGGTATCAATATTAATCGATACCAAATATCGATACAATTGAACTGTATCGCCATCTCTAGTTCACAGTTCTCAGTGGTGGTTTTGCGTTTTGTCGCCAGAGGTCCGGCTCGTTTCTCGTTCGTTCGTATTCTGGGTACGGGGAGGGGAAGCATCGTCTTCCGGTTATTGCGCTCCGTCGATTCCGATCCTCGAAACCGTCCCACGAATCTGTTCAAAGTTTCGCGGCGTCGTGGAAGTTAAGACGGGTGGGGGAAAGTTTCGGTTGATTCCTTGGATCGTAAAAATCCAAGTACATATCTCATGTAAGCGAAGCACGATGGGGTGGAATGTGGTGGTGCGATGGCCCCTTTGAGAAACTGCTCTGCTGGAGGATTTCATACCGAGAAAGCTCGAGGGGGCTTGGGTGGACAGGATTACGAGAATTGTCGTTGTGATCTAAGAGGGTGGGGGGTGAGATCTTCGAAAGAGGAGAGGGTGTCGTCTGTTGTTTAAGGGGATATTCTATTCTAAGAGTGTCAATTTTTTCGAGATTTTTGTGGGACTTTTTCTTACAAAAAAATCATGAGACTTTTTGGTATCGGCATTTTGCATACATTTTATTTATATTTTAAGAATATTTATAATTTTTTGTTAAATACAAATTATCAAAATTGATTGAATTATTTAATACGGTATTCGGATAACAGAACTTCCGGATACTAGAACGTTCGGATATTAAAGTATTCGGATAATGGGGGTGCGGATATGGGAGGCTGTACTGTATCTCGTAGTCGCGATTCGTATCGGTCTCGTGCACGCGTCGGCATCCCGCGCGAACTGCTACGCCTGGAGTCGTTCGAATTCCGGGGAAAAGGGTCGCCGCGAGCACGCCCTCGAGTTTCGAACTCGAGTCTAAAAAACCATGCCCTCGAACGACGTCGTGGTGCACAAAACCGTCTGTTGGATTGACGTTGGGTGACGGCGGTTTCGCGTTCGTCGCTGTACATACGCGGGAGCATTAATTAAAGGACATTCTTCTATCGATACCGGCCACGGCGCGTGACGAGTTTATAGGAATCCGCATTATTCGCGTCGGTCGGCTAACGAACGCGTGTCGCCCCTCCCCCTTCTCCCTCCCGCAATAACCCACGGGCCTTTCTCCGTGGAAAATTAACGAGACGCAGGCGGCAGTCCCCGTTGGTCCGCCTCTATCGGCGCCCGCCGTGAGCCGCGACGACGCTCCCGTAAACTGTGACACGCACTCCCGCCGTGGCCGTTCCCCCCTCCCCCCGCCGGCATCGCCCCACCCTCTTCTCGCTTTTTCCTTCTGCACACCGCCCTTTCAATCCTTTCAAAGGTTCTAGCCTTTAAACCTTTTGAAAGGTTTCCTCCGACGGCAAATACGCGTGCAACCACCAGCTGTTCCGTCGACCGCGGGTCCCTCGATCCTCCGTTTCCGCTTCCTATGCCGGCTTGGGGGACACACGGAACGTCGAAATGACGCACGTTGCGACGGACGTCACTTTGCACGGCATACACGCAAGAGCTTACTCGGCTCTCGTATGACGGTAATCGACGAAGACGATTATGTACAAGCGATTGTCATTTAATTATATTGTTTCTTAAAATAATAAACCATTGCGAAACTGTAGGGAGCAATTTCAAAAACAAATGTATACCAACAGATTTGGAATGAAATACTAGTCACTCTTGGTCATTATGAAAATTTCAGTGAGTTGTAAAATACAGTTATGAATAATTTTTTTTTCTTAAAATAAAGAAATTGTATTTTTGATAACTTGTTAGCACCATTTTAAAACGTTCAGTCGTATCGGTTTGTCACGTGTCGTGTCGCGGTTTGCCCTGACGACGATTCTTCCTCGAACCTCGATGACGAACTACAGGACACAAATGGATCGTTCTCGTTTTTATTTCGACCGGGACGAAGCCACGGGGCGGGCTGGGCTGCGCGTTGTTCCTAATCGGCGGATAATTGCTAAAGAAAAGAAGAAGAGGAAAAAAAGACCGGCGGTCGATCGACGGAAGGAAAAGGGGCCAGGGAGATAGCGCGCCCTCTGCCTCTCTTTCTCTAAAGAAACGAGAAGAAAGACGTTTCGAAGGAGAGGAAAGCCAGTCTCTTCGTAATTTTTCGATCGATAGTTCGGTTCGTTCATTTGCTCGCTCGCTCGCTCGTCTTTTCGTTCCATTAGTCGCAGCCGGAGGATGCTTCCGACCGTTTTACGGAGAATACTCGAGAGCCCCCCTTTTTATTCCGCGTCGAAGAAGCGATCGGTCTGCTGCGCGTACCCGACGAGCGTTACGGGAGCGGCCCTGACGACGACGTATTTCGCAGTCACCGGTAATTTTAAACGAGCCGCGTCTCGATCGATCGGCCGTTTACTCGTATCGTTGAGAAACACCGAGCACGCGGAGAGAACTCGACGATAAAAAAAAGGAGTGTGTTTTTGAGCTCGCGGGGCAGCCGCTCCGTTGCTCTCCGCTGTCTTGGAGCCGTTCACGAGCCGGGGGGCGTGGATAGTGATGGGTAACCAAGCCCACCAAGCCAGATGACGTCACGGGGCCTCGGCGAGGGGAGGTGCGGGGACCACTCTCGGGTTACAATGTAACACACAGAATGAATCACCCATGAATAAGAATTTAAATTTTTACTGCTTTCAGTGTAGTTTGTTAAAAATGTTATGAATAAATTTAGGAGATTCTCCTGATGAAGATAAGTCCAAACCAGACATAAATCAGACTATATTTAACAACATACAATTCGTATCGCGAGTTGATTTCTTAAACAGTAATTCATTTTTTTAAAATAATTAAGAAATGGGATTTTTTACGATTTTTAGATGGATTTTTCGGTTTCGATTTTTTAAGAGAATCGGTTCTCATGATTTGACAAGACATTCGATTGTCGAATCGATTCTTTGAAGTGAATCGAACATCTCTAAGTGCAGTTGCAAAGGGTTAATTTTAAGTTTTAACCCATTTGTATCACACGTAAAAGTGTTAAAAGTGTTAAAGTGTCAAAATTTGTTATAAAAAAATAAAAACAACGTCCAGATTAATTACACGCAAATATGCACAAGTGATGCAAACGATCGATAGAGGCCCCCCTTTAATCTTAAATTGTTCATCCGAACGCGTTAATTTCTATTCTCGGTTCGACCGTTATTCCAGGCAGGTAGGACAGAGAATCTTGCCAGAATTTGTCTTCAAGCATTCCTAAAACGTTCACGCAGGGATCGTACCGTGAACCGAGGGGGGATTACGTTGGGGACACCTGAAATATGGCAGTAGGTGGCGCGCTCCCTGGCGAAAGCCAGCCGCCCCTTTCACGCAGGACACGTTCTCTCCATCTTCGGCCATTTTTCGTCGCGTTCCTTTTTCTCCTCGCGTGCCTCCTCCCCCCCCCCCTGCCGTAAAAGCAACGCGGGATTAATTGTTTTCGCCTGGGTCGCCAAGAACGTGACCTTGTACCGCTCCGACATCGCCCTCCCTCGTGATAAATCATCCGTGCAGGGAATCCAAGGACCGCTACTGATCATACCAGCAGGATTAATTGATCGGCCGTCGCGATCGGGACCGTCGCCAGGCGATCCTTCGACGTCGAACGCTTCCGTGAACGTACGTACTACCCGAGAAATACACCAGCCAGAGACCCATCCATTTCTCTGGGCGTTGTTCGTTTTTCCGGGCGGCGAAAATTGAAAGCGCACCACGCGAAAACCACCTTTTCTCTCTCTCATTCTATCTCCATGAAAGAATCCCCTCGTCCGGAAGAGGTTCGACCCGAATAAAATACAGAGTCCCACGGACCTGTAAATCACCGCCGCGGAACGAGCTACGGCGCCGTATTCTCGGAAGAATTATCGCGACGCGATCCCGCGGCCGGATATCCCCCCCTCCTACTCAGCCCACTGTACATCTTTCTTTCGTACTCCGTGCCTGTTGTTCCCTACGCCGTTCCTCCTCCTCCTTTTCGTCCATTCCGGAGCGTTCCACAAGTATAATCGGGAGCTTATAAATTGTCGACGAATCAAATTCGCTGGCGATAAAGAGAGCGAACGGGGCACAAGTGAGATAGAGCGATAACAGAATAATCACGTGGTAATGAGATAGTAATGACGTAGCGTCTTAGGGTGGAAACCATTGACCGGTGAGATAACCCTCTTGTCACTGTGCCGTTCAGTTTATAAGAACTCTATAACTTAGCAACTCTTAACTGCACATACTCGATCTTTTTCCAGCGGACATATTTCTATTACGTTTGCTCCTAGAAGGTGAAATCGGGTCACATGCATAACGTAATATCTACGGAGCGGAAAGATCGCTCTTACAGTGTGACGGTATAGAAGGAAGGTCAAAGGCATTAGTAGACACCCACAGAGCCCTAGACACCCTCCAGTCACCACCATCCGCGAGAGCTGGGAACGGGTCGCGGATTTATTTCACGCGATTCATACATACATACGGAGTTAAAAAATCGTTTGAGCGCGCGCATGGTTAGCGGCGAGAACGAGAGAAAAAAACATGGAAAAAGGGATGAGGCGGCGAAGGAAAAGGGCCCGGGGAAGGGGGTACAGAGGGTGAGAGAAGGTAAAGAGGGCAAAGGTAAGGGGATAAGAGAAGGTGGAGACAAGGGCGGGAGAAGGGTGGCGAGCAGGCAGGCATTTCTGCCGGCAAAGCGCGGATTGTGAGCCACCAGTCGGCGGGCGGGAGAGAGAGAGAGAGAGAGAGAGAGAGAATTGCGTACAAGGAAGAAAAAAGGGAGCCGTCAAGCTGTCGCTCGCGTTCCGTAAACACGGAAGTCTGAAGTGCTCCGGCTTTGAACACCGACGACTACCGAACGTCGACGACGACGACGACGACGTTGACGACGCCCGACGACGACGATCGTAATTACCGTTGTAGGTGAGACTGCCGGAAAACACGTCGTTTACGTTTC